TGTTTTTTTTTCTCTTAGACTCGATTCAGTACATCTGTTTCAACTGTCATTATTTTCTTTTGTTCGTGAGTTAATGTTTGATTTCAACAGTAAAAGAGTGAGTATTTGAATAAGTTACATAGTTGTTTGTTTATAGAAACAAAAATGATGAGGAAGAGAGAGAAACACAAAGAAACTAATGAAATGAAACTTTTCTAATCCTTACGATGAGGCAACTATAGCTTAACATAAAAAGATACAACAACGAAGAAGGTTAGGTAGTAAGAGAATGAGGAAACTGATAAACAAAAAAACAAACAAACATCTCCTGAGGTTTATTTTTGTTATACCACATAAAAGCTGAAAAAATGTTTTCCATGGTTTATCTTTTTTTTCTCCTAATACCCTTCTCCCTTCGACTCATTTCATTTATAAGGTTTTTATCGTAATTATATGACACTATCTTGGTAAACGTTACATATTTACTTACTTACGCCTGTTATTCCTCGTGGAAGAGCATAGGCAACCCAACAGCATTCTCCATCCAACTCTGTCCTCAACAATCCTTTCCACTTCATTCCAGTTGTTATTCCTCATCTCCATATCTGCTTCTACTTCCAACGTAATATGTACTTCGACCTTCCTCTTTTCCGTTTCCCTTCACCATTCCAAGTTAGGGATTACCTCGTGTTGTAGTTTGACGATTTCCGTAGTTTATGTCCTATCCACTTCTAACGTCTTTTTCTAATTTCCTCTTCAGTTGGAACCTGGTTTATCCTCTCCCATGAAACGCTGTTGCTGATAGTATCCGGTCATTGAATGTTGAGTATTTTGTGTAGACAACTGTTTGTAAATGCTTGTACATTCTTGATGATGGTTGTGGTAGGTCTGCACACTTCATCTCCGTACAGTAGGACTGTCTTGACGTTCGTATTGAAGATTGTGACTTTCAAATTAGTTGATTGGTGCATATTGTATTGTATGGGAGAGTCTTGCTTTTCTCTTTGTTTATATTGAGACCTCTATTGAGAACTCTATTTTAATTTACATTTTACTGGCTCAGTAATATTGACTAGAAAAAGTTACTGATTGTTTGTTCTCTCAAAGTTTTGATCTAACTTGAACGCTAAAACATTTTTTTAATTTTTATCAGCAGTAAAACTGTTGCTAATTTAACTGTTATCACCAATGGTACCATTTTTCTTTTTTTTAAATATGAGTACAATTACTTTTGTGATCGATATAAACAAAGAGATTATTTTAGTTGTTAGTAACTAATTATGTCTTTTTCTTTAACCAGGGTTGTTAAATATCAAATTATAAATGATGATGATTGTACTTTTGAATAAAACACAGATAAATATTAGGTGTTAATTTTCTGGAGTAAGCAAAATTACCAGTTGAATATATATTGTCAGTATAGGTTTGTGGAGATTGTTCAGTTTAAAATGATATCATGAATGGAACAATATTAGATAACCATTGTAAACCTGGAAGTATTGGGCAGCAGACTTGTCTTAGTATGGGACTACTCATCAACACACATCCAAGATCACACACGGAGGACTCGAACCCAAGACGTTCGGTCTCGCATGCGAACGCTTAAGCTCTTGACCACTGATATGTACTTCGACCTTCCTCTTTTCCGTTTCCCTTCACCATTCCAAGTTAGGGATTACCTCGTGTTGTAGTTTGACGATTTCCGTAGTTTATGTCCTATCCACTTCTAACGTCTTTTTCTAATTTCCTCTTCAGTTGGAACCTGGTTTATCCTCTCCCATGAAACGCTGTTGCTGATAGTATCCGGTCATTGAATGTTGAGTATTTTGTGTAGACAACTGTTTGTAAATGCTTGTACATTCTTGATGATGGTTGTGGTAGGTCTGCACACTTCATCTCCGTACAGTAGGACTGTCTTGACGTTCGTATTGAAGATTGTGACTTTCAAATTAGTTGACAATTGCTTTGAGTTCCATATGTTGTTCAATTGTAAGAATGCGTCCCTTGATTTGCAAATCCATGTCTTTACATCTGCATCAGATTCTCTTTGTTTGGCAATAATGCTTCCCATGTTGGTAAACGTTAGTAGAATATTAAAGTGGAAATACATGATTCTAGACTATTTAACATTAAAAATGATATGAGTGAGTTTAAAGTGTAGTCTGATAATTAGATCTAAATTTTAGAGATCGATATGTGACCTGTCGAAAATTGATATTTCTAGAAATCATTTATATTTTAATTCACATTCATTTATGTTTATTTTGATGTGATATAATTTGTGTTTAAGATACTCCTTGTTCATCAATGATGCTTCCCAGGTACTTGAATGTTTCCACCTCTTCCAGATTTTCTTAATCATGTGCGACTGGGTTGTAGTTCTCCATGTCGTATTTGAGAATCTTGCGTTTTTCTCTGTGCATGTTGAGGCCTATTGATGCAGAGGCCGGTTCTACATTAGTTGTCTACACTTGCATTTGTTGATGTTTATGGAATAAAAGGTTCAGGTTATATTCGAAGTCCGAATCGTCTAGTTACATCCAACCTGTCCGTTTTATCCGGTGTCTCCCCTCAGATGTCGAGGTCTTCATAATCCAGTAAATCACAAGAAGAAAGAGGAAGGGGGAGAGTAGACAGCCTTGTCTGACTCCGGTCCCTACTGGAAATGCATCTGTCAACTGTTCTCGATGCACTAATTTGCACTGTAGTCCATCGTATGAGTTCCGGATAATGTTGACGATCTTCTCAGGAACTCCATAGTGTAAAATATTTTCTCTTATAAACTATGTTGTACCTAAGACGTCATTCTTATTAGTTAAAAGAGAGCTGTTACAAAAATTTTTAGTCCTTCTAGTATTCATTGTTGACACAACATTTAACTTAGATTGACTGAGTATAAATCAGTGATTAATGTCACATTTGTATAGTCCTTAATGCTGACTAAGTCCTATCGATCAATATCCAAAGTGATTTATCATCACTTACATAATGTTTTGATGTAAGCTGGTGTGATATAAAACATAGGTCACTACGAATTTACAATTCATGCTATCTGCCCCTCATTCATCAACAAAGCGTAACTGAAATGTTAATGGAATTGACGTTTTCTATGAGATCCCAACACCTGCCATCAAGTATCCTTGGCTGAGGTATCACCATTAGGCCCGCTATCGACATCTCGTGGAACTGAAATATTTACATTGATTTATCATTGAATGTCAATAACTAGGTTGGAGCTCATTTTCAAGATTTTATCTTGACTAACCATAACCATTCATTTATCTTTTGTATGCAATCAATACTAAACTGGTGAACTAATTTTCATGTCTTTTCTTACTTACTTACTTACTTACGCCTGTTACTCCCAATGGAGCATAGGCCGCCGACCAGCTTTCTCCAACCCACTCCGTCCTGGGCTTCCTTTTCTAGTTCTATCCAGTTCTTGTTCATTCTTCTCATGTCTGTCTCTATTTCTCGGCGTAATGTGTTCTTTGGTCTTCCTCTTCTCCGTTGACCTTCAGGATTCCATGTGAGGGCTTGTCCTGTGACGCAATTAGCTGATTTCCTCAAGGTGTGCCCAATCAACTTCCAGCGCTTCTTCCTGATTTCTTCCTCTGCTGGAATCTGGTTTGTTCTCTCCCACAGTAACTTATTGCTAATAGTGTCTGACCATCGGATCCGAAGTATTTTGCGTAAACAGCTGTTGATGAACACTTGTATCTTCTGGATAATGGCTTTCGTAGTTCTCCACGTCTCCGCCCCATACAATAGAACTGTCTTGACATTTGTATTGAAAATTCTAACCTTGGTGTTGGTTGACAATTGTTTTGAGCTCCAGTCGCTTTTCAGTTGTAGGTATGCTGCTCTTGCTTTGCCGATCCGCGCCCTCACATCTGCATCTGATCCACCGTGTTCATCAATGATGCTGCCCAGATATGTAAAGGTTTTCACATCCTCCAAAGCTTCTCCGTCAAGTTTAATTTGATTGGTGCATATTGTATTGTATCGGAGAGTCATGCTTTTCTCTTTGTTTATATTGAAACCTCTATTGAGAACTCTATTTTAATTTACATTTTACTGGCTCAGTAATATTGACTAGAAAAAGTTACTGATTGTTTGTTCTCTCAAAGTTTTGATCTAACTTGAACGCTAAAACATTTTTTTAATTTTTATCAGCAGTAAAACTGTTGCTAATTTAACTGTTATCACCAATGGTACCATTTTTCTTTTTTTTAAATATGAGTACAATTACTTTTGTGATCGATATAAACAAAGAGATTATTTTAGTTGTTAGTAACTAATTATGTCTTTTTCTTTAACCAGGGTTGTTAAATATCAAATTATAAATGATGATGATTGTACTGTTGAATAAAACACAGATAAATATTAGGTGTTAATTTTCTGGAGTAAGCAAAATTACCAGTTGAATATATATTGTCAGTATAGGTTTGTGGAGATTGTTCAGTTTAAAATGATATCATGAATGGAACAATATTAGATAACCATTGTAAACCTGGAAGTATTGGGCAGCAGACTTGTCTTAGTATGGGACTACTCATCAATACACATCCAAGATCACACACGAAGGACTCGAACCCAAGACGTTCGGTCTCGCATGCGAACGCTTAAGCTCTTGACCACTGAGGCGACACCCAACAGTGGTAATGTCTAACTATAATCGATCCATAATGTTGTGTAACTCTTCATCCATTGTCTGAGGTTGATAACTGTCGGTACCCGACATGGATTGAATTCCAGTGGTCATTGTTTCTCAGTAGAACTCTAGGAGATCCATCTTGAACCTAATCAGTTGTTCGGACATAATAATTATCTGTGGAGATTGTTGGGTTTAGATTGATAATATATATATTGGTTAATATTGATATATGAAATAAATATTTAGGATTGCTGAGTAGTGATCATTGTCATGTATATCAAGGGCTGATTGAAACTTAGATTCAGAGTATCCAATCGACTAACTGTAGTTACCTAACATATTAAATAAAAACAATCATTTATACCTGCAAAAATTCCTGTTGAAATGGATGTTCTTCATTCTCATGTATATTAAATAAAACTCCTTCAATCCATGCATGATCAGCATTCAAATGATCAGTTATATAACCAGTATAGGCCTAAAGTTTTAAATGAAAAAACATAAAAGAATGCCTGATTATGTGTATTAATACAAATTTAATGTTAATCATGTTTATATTTAAGTAACTGATTGAATGGAAAAATGTTTATTACATTAAGTCAATTAATTATTACTTGTTAGGTCTTACATTATCTTGGTATCATTATTAGAGACTGCATTTAATCAGTCACTGTTGTAATATAGGCTTGCTGAGTCGATGGCTTCCTATTGTCCATAATTGTAAGAAGATTAGATTTTGGATGCTGGTTAGAAGGGGAATTTCAGAGGCACGTTTTCATTTATTTAAAACTCGTGAGCTGAATATGTCTACATTGAAATGTAGGTGTTTAAATTAGGACTTGAACTAATTACTTCCAACACCAACTGTTATATCTAGAGCTTTTCTTCTTACTATGCCGCGTACTACTAGACTACTTGAACGATAGAACCCACAACGTCGCAAGAGAGAAAACAGAAGACTATTTAGTAGGAACTTTCATTCCCCAAAACAGTGTCAAAATATAGTACAGAATCTCATGTATTTATAATTATTGGCTGAATGTAAATCATCATTTCGGTCAACCAATAGGAACATAGGGGTCATTCTTATCCATCCAATGGGGAAGCTACACGTCGACACTCTAGAATATTCCCCGAGCAGTGATTGGATGGAACATGTCCGGCTCTTTCTGGGCTTCTTAAGGCTTCCTAGAGTTTACCAACGAGCCATCCTTACACCAACGTCATTAATTTGTCTGTTCTCCGTTGTAACTAAGTAGCTTAGTTTGTAACTTACTAATTTCTAAGTCAATAGGTAGTGTGTCTGGATCTCAGTGTGAACATCAAAACCAGGATACAGATACATTCAGTTAGATGTTCTATGATTGTATCCGTGTAATAAATACTACGAATAGCTTAATTATTCACGTAAATAATTAAGCTAGTGCGTTCTTTGTAGTTGATCTTGATCCGATCTTGACTGTAACAGTGTATACTGGTGAGATATGGGAATTTACTTATTTGCATATCACATACTATACTACTGTAGTGAACAAAACTCAGGAACGGAAAACCAATTTATTATTTTACACAAAACTACACAGTGTCTGTGTATAAAATGAAAATGGCACATTAAATATATTATTTGCATATCTTTCATAAGCTGCCTTTTACATACTCCATCATTCTTTCAATCCTGTTGTTATTCCGATTGCTCTCTATTTTCCTTCCTCTCCTCTTTATTCCAGTCTTCTGCTGATAAACATTTTACTTCCAACTTCTGCTGCATACTACATATAGAGTACACCACACTAATACTACTGTTACTTCGAAATATCTCATACAGGTCATTCGAAAATACTGACATAACTTGCTTTTATTTCATAGTACAAACTGATTTCTATCGAACGAGGCTGTGATCCTGTTCTCATGTTGAGCAGCTTAATATTTATAATCGAATGTGATACTATTTGAAAAATATATAATTTTAACACGAATTAAGGGATTTCAGTTGAGATAAAGTAAGTACTGTTAATAAAATGAACATATTTTCATTTTCAGAAGGAGATTTTGTGGAGATTTTAGTAATTGTATATCGTTGAGATCATGAGTCATTTGAAGCTAGAACACCATGGAAAACACTAGACGGTCGTTTCTTTTTATTGCGGGACTCTTCAGCGAAACGGAATCGTGGATGCGCACTGCTGAGGAGTCCCACAACAGGAAGAAACGGTCGTTCAGTACATCCAGGTTTTTCACGGTGGTCTAGCTTTAATTAACTCATGATCTCAACTATATAACATTTTCATTTTAACTATGAGACTAGTTAACTTTTAAAATATATCTTAAATTTAAAATATGAGATACTGTGAAGAGATCTTTTTCCAAGTCGTATACTCATGAGATTTTAACAAATAATTCTTTACAGAAATTTCTAAAGACATTAATTTATAATTCAGTCAGTAGATCAGTCATTAACAAAGTAGGATCTGGCATAAATGTTCATTGTTAGTGAAAATGATAAATGTTGTAAGAAACATAAGTATATTGAAAATCAAGACTTTAAATAATATAATAAGTTATTATACTTACATAACTGTTAATGATTTCCAGTAATGTCACTTGAAGTATTCAACTACAGATTACCATCCAATTATTGTCCGGAAGTCAAATTCTCAAGGTCTTAGTTCAGTTAACAATAACAAAGTAACCTAACGTCTTGGCCATCCATAGCTTTGATTTTATCAACTTATAAGCTATTTAGCGTAAAAGGGTGAAGTATTCAATTTTTAAGTACGTCTAACAGATACCCCGACCATCTAAGTTGTTTAAAGTTCTTAGTTGCATCAATCAAATGACAATGTTGACTATATGGTAATCTTATGTGAGGATAACAAATCTAATACAGCGAGATTTTTTTATTATAAATAATAGTTCAACTAATTGTAATCTTTGATCAGACGTACAATCTTCAGAAAAAATTATGGACGGCTATTTCAGCTAACGGTGAGACTGTAATTTGTGAATGAACTTTGAGCGAATCAAAAGTGGCCTTGAAACGACTCACCTATTTACCAGGGTCTAAAGAAGATTAAAAATTAGTATGAGGAATTAAAATTAGGATTTAATGTTTGCATTTAGGGTTAAGAATTAGAGTGAGGGTTTTCGTCACGAACTGACATCATGTTCAATACTAAAGTGCTATTTAACTAAATGAATTAATGAATTTCGGGCTCAAATCCAAGAATTGATATACTTGATTTCATTTATTCATTCATAAATTATATAGTCTCACCTAAATAACTCCAAATATTTATAATTTAACAAAAAATTAATTAACTTACAATTGAAACACTAGCAGCTCTTAAACTTGTCAACACCGATTGTTGATGGTGTTTATCTTCAAATAAATTCATTAAACGACGTTGAATGAATGCACGTATAACATTAGCACTACAATCTTGAAAATCACAATCTTCTCGATGATCAGTTAAATACTGAAATTAAGAAATCAAACAGTAACTGGTTCATTAAAAGTAATTATTGAAATTTAAGAAATGTTGGATAATTATTTAGCATTATTATTCTTTTACAGTGCTTATCAGCATCAAATTTCAAGGAAAAACAGTTAATTGTACATTAGTAAGTTGGTTTGTAGTGATTGGTATAATTAAGGCCATAGAATTTACGATACAAATAATTTTAATAATTAAATTCATGAGTCTATTTAAGCTAGACCACCATTGAAAGGCCACTTCGTCAGTGCGCATCCACGATTCTATACGGACTCAAACCCAGGACATTCGGTCTCGCGAACGGACGTTTAACCTTTAGATCACTGATATGGCATACAACGGTGTTATTGTATAACTTCAATTGATCCATGATCTTCTGCAAATCTTTATCCATTATCTGAAGTGGAGTCCAATTCGTGTTAGGTGGAGACAGTCTAGCTTAGATCGATTCATGAATTCAACCATTAAAATTTCTATAATCTCCACAAATCCCAATTCTGATAATATATATAATGTTAGATTTAAAATTTTAACGATAGTTATTGTTGATTTATATCTTTATCTTTTAACAAATTGACACTTCAAATGAACATTAATACTTCCTGCTGTTTAATGGTTGTTTAATTAAAAGTTAGTTTGTGACTTAATAAAACAACATTCATTGATTCCCACAAGCCACTATAGAGACACTAACACTGTTTCATATTTCTCGTAAATGACAGGGTTTTAACGAATTCATTGAATATTATCAAACTATAGCATATTCAATGTTTAAAACGACCAATCCATTCTATAAATTTCGATTGTACAATGAGAACATTAAATTGATTTTTAAAAAAATACAATGTACTGGTGAGACTATAATTTATGGACAAGCCAATCAGATATAAGATAACAGATCATGAATTTTGATGTGAAATTCATCCATCCATTTAGCTAAACAGAGTTTTGACATTGTAGATAATGTCATTTCGTGATGAGAACCTTAAATCTAATTCCTAACCCTAACCAACAACAACAAATCTTGATTCTAATTCATCGCGCTTCTTTATAACCCTCATTTAATCCTCTTTAGTAGAGGGATATTATCAAGGTCACTTCAGAGCAGCTCAAAGGTCGTCCATTATTTATATTGTCTCACTAAAACAACTGTTTAATAAAATTTAATGGATCTACATTTTAGATACAACAAAACAAAATCACATGTTACGGATTAAAACATTAATATTGAGCTTTAAAATAAGTTTATACTTTAAAGGAATGGTATCGTTAGTCCTATACTGCTCTGATGACCTCAGTTTGTAACGATTGATTGCATCACATCTTATTTTGTGTTCTATTTTATAAATTCGTTTTCTTCAACCTTTCTTGCTCTTTATCTTCTCTTTACTCGTTTTAATCTTTTAATTTACTATATCATCTGTTTCAACACTGATTTTTTCAATAACCTGTTTTTAAGAGTCATAAAAAGTTTTCTTCTGGACTGTTCACATTATATAATATACAAATATTCAAATATGCAACCATCTCTTATACCTCTTGCACAGTTAATACTCTTTTTATTAGCCTTCATTGATGAGAATTTTTCTGATATTCTGAAGTACGATGATATTATATGCCTTATTTTAAAAAATTCATATTGCTATTTCTAGGTTATAAGCAGTTGAAGAGAATCTATAAAATATGTGAATTCGCATTATTCTGCTATGATTGTCGCTCTTGGTTTATCCAATTTCTAAACAGTAAAGATTGTTTGGTATGCCAAGATTTGTGACAATTGTAAATTTTTCATAATTCTAAATCACGAAATGGTCTTAGCTACACTGTCATTGGGAGCTTAGGGGAACTGGACTCGGGGCTTTGTGTTCGATTCCCAGGCCTGAGATCGTGAATATGCACCGCTGTGGATACCTATGCTAGGGCAAAACACCTATCCTGTGCTTCCAGATTTTTAATTTTGGTCTGGCTAAGATCAATTCGTGATTCATAATTATGAATATTAATATATCAGCCAGTTAATAATAATAATAATAATAATAATAATAATAATAATAATATGTTTTCCAAACGTACCCACGGTAAACATAATTGTTGATTGTTCTGAAGTAACCCAACTTGAATAAGTGGTAAACTTTCATAGAATCTATGATCTGGATCTGGTCTTGTAATTGCAATAATAATACAATGATTAGGTCCCCAATGTGGTAGTAGACCCTTACCAGTTAAACCAGTACGTCCACATGGATTCAATGGATAACCAACAGGAATATATTCAGATAACTTTGCTGTTGCTTTGGTGGGTGCAGTTTTTGATGTCACGTTAGTTGTCCTAGGATCAGTTATATGATCTGTTTGCCTTACTATTCGTACCCGACCACGTAATGACATTCGACTTACGCCTTTCACAATATCATAACTGTTGTATGGCAGTGTTTGTGGTGAACTGAAACACATGCAAATATATAGAAAATGAAATCAAATGCAACGGAAACTTATAAAAATAAAAGAACATACTTCAAAAGCTGACTTGGTATTTGAATGATCAAAGTCAACCTGACTCTGTCATCGATAATGTATGTCAGAACCTCGTAGTGAGGTGGACATGATATTTTGTGGTTAGACACAGTCGGTAAACTAGTTACGGAATATATTAGAACTATTGGAACTCATCACTTTGAAATTTCATCAACTTCAAAAAGACTGTTACTGCTGTGAGAAGCTCAGATTTTCATTACTTATGTTGTCAGTCAAACACACTATTTATCGGCTGTTTGAATAGTGGCTAACTCCATGTAGCGTCGAATAAAGTACACCAAATGGTCCCTGAATAGAAATCAATCATTTTTTAACAGATAGATCATCAGGTCAAACCATAACCATCATAAAAATTTGTGCTCGGATGAGCTTAATGTAATGGCATATTTTCGGTTGAGAGCTCAACTGTTATAAAACTTGATTTAAATACAGTTTCTTGCGATTTTCTTCAATTTACCGATATATTCCACGCAATTTTTAATATCACAGCCATGAACAAATCATTTGGCTTTTTGCTCATTCTTAAATACTTCAGCATTATGTTATCTATCGTTAGTCCTTTAACACTTAACCACGTCTCCTGACCCTATCATGCTGATACCACTAGCTTACTACTACTAGCTTAGTTCTATGCTTATAATATAAGTAATAGTCGTCAACTTTTTTTATTTAATACGTATGGAGTTAATCGTTAGGATACACCGTTAGATGTGTGCTATGTAATAGCTGGACCGTATCAAAAATATGTACCTGTGGGATTCGAACCCTGTTCACACATATTTACAGTCCAAGACATTAATAGCAAAGTATTAGACCAACAAATTACCTATTATGGAACTGTGATATTTACCATTTTGTTCACCAATATGTAATAATCAATGTCGTTAGAATAGATGGTAGTCATCAACTTGCAAGGAATTCAGGTCTACAGTTTCCTATTTATTACCTCCAACCGTTTAATAAGGTTCCAATTTACATTTTATATACATTTACAGTTAATTGAATGACTCTAACCAATAATCATTGTCTTTGTATTCAGAATAATTGAATACCATCTTCATCCACCTTATAATGAAAGAAAACCGAAATGAAAAATAGTTCAACAATTCTAGACCCCTATTTGGAGCTCATTTTTCATTCTTTATTAGAACGTGCTATTGAATTTTTTCAATATTTTTTTAATAGTTTCGACCTTATTCGAGATATGTTGAGATATTTGTTCATTCATATTCATTGTCTATTCTGTTCATTATTTTAACAGGCAATATAAGTTCATAATGATAAATACGGGAATGCTTTAAATAACTTTGATTCACGTAAGATAGTAGTCAAAGGCGTTTTATTACTCAATAGTTCCGTTTAAAACAGATCGTGGTGTATAGTATTATGTGACTTAGAACAAATCTAAATGAATGATTATATAAATCAATTGAATCTAGAATCTATATGACAAAGTGTTATATCGATTGCCTGTGTGCGTGACCTGTTTACTATTTATGAACGTGTTGATTCCCGCCAATCAGGGAGGAGTGAATTATTGATCAGAGCAATGATATACGAAAACAGTATGAGCAGTCTTGAGTACTTATCAATCCTTCTTTCTGCCTAGCCCAGCCAGTTAAGTCCAGAACACTAATAACAGTCTCTGCAATATGAATCATTATTTTCAAACATACGGGGATTATCCTCAGCAGTGCGCACCCACGATCCCGCACTCGCGAAATTCGAACCCAGGACCTGCCAGTTACGAGCCGTCCAGTGCTTCCAGGTTTCCGATGGTGGTCTAGCTTCAATTGACTGATGATTTCAACTTTGAAATATACTGAAATCTCCACAAATCCCCTTCTGATTATAATCATATGCTCACTAGTGACTGACTTCAAGATACATGTCCTGGAGTTCTAGTGGGAAGCAGTGACCAGTGGAGTTCAACCACGTCTGTTATGAGATAACAACTCACTGAAGGCAATTGGTGAAGTGTCACTCATAATACGGGGTTTATATTATTAAACAAACTGACCACATCAAACCATAAAATATAAAATAATATTTGTACAAGATTTGACCGAATGTGGCTGTGAATGTGGGGAACAGTAATTAATGGACTAGGGATAACTCAAGAATTGTAAATCGTATAATAATAGTTCATAGGTCAAAATAAAGCTTATAATAAGAAGGACACGAATATAAATAGTTTAGTTACTTAGCTACTATACAATAGGAAATATACATATCACATTGGTTCATAAATAATCCTCAAAAGTTACCATTCATAAATCTTCACGGGATATAACCCAAAATCTGCGTAATTTTGCATTGAACTTAAATTTATACCAAAAACACTTTCATATAAATAAAACAATTCTTTTTACTGATTCCCTTTGGATAATTAATAGTACAGTTGCCAACATTTCGAATATTCTGGAATGAATTTTGTATTTAAGAAAACATATTTAAAATATTAAAAGAAAAATGAATAACCTACACTTCTGGTCCATCTTCTAATTCTGGATATGGTAAAGCAATTCTATCATCTGTTACGGTGAATGTTCGATATGTATCGTATGGAATCTAAAAGTGGAGTTCAAATGAATTGTATGAATGCATTGAAATATGAATATTAAATTAGATACCTTATTAGATATGATTCATATTTAATATAGATAACGTTCTTTTATAGAAAATAGTTATAGGTTGGTTAACATTATGCAATATAGAAGTATTCAAGTATCTTGTATGCCGAGTATACTAACTCTGTACATTTTGTAACCTAGAGATTGAATGAACTCTAGAGATATCCTATAACAATAATAATCTTGTATTAAACAATGATCATCTTCCAAAAGAAATGTCTTACATGATCGTTAGAGTTCATCGGGAAGTGGGTTGAGATGGATATCTCCGAAGAAAAAAGAAAAAATGAATTCACTTCTGTCAGAAATCTGAATCACTGAGTTTTAGCTTAATATGTTTCCATGTGATCTGATGGTCTTAGTTTCAATTTCAGGTAGAGTGGTAAGTTTCCCTTTGTTAAAGATTTCCATACTAGGATAAAACAGCTGTTCAATATCCATCGTTTCTCGGTGGTTGTTTTGCTGATATCAGTCTGTGATTCAGATTACACAAAGGGATAATCATTAAGTAGATTAATGCAACTTCAAACGTGAAGCAATATTAATAATTTCAGTAGTCTTGGTAACTAATACATAAACGTTTAGATCTCATCATAGGCATAATCTTTCACTAAAAATGAGAATATATTCAAATTTTTATAACTGAACATTTGCAAAACAGGGACCCATGTAGTTTTATTCTAACTATTTAAGGTCACTTAGTTTTATAGACTGTAAGAAGTACATATGAATAATGATGAATGTCCGATCTTTAACAATATAGGTTTCTAGTTCTGGTCTGTAAATTTTCACTTCAGGCGTTGGGCGGGCAGCGTCTGCAACAGCTTAATGTAGGAGAGAATAAACCCGCCTCCAAATGAAAAAGAGATCAGGAAAAGATGCTGGAGATAGGAAGGACACAAATTACGGAAGTCATCAAACTTCATCACGTGGCAAGCAATTGCTTGGAATCCTCGAAGCTAAACGAAAATATTTAGACCAAAGGACACATTTAGTCAGACCTGGATGCAGATATCAAAAGAATGAATAGCACTTGAAAACAATAGGAAAGGATTGCCTGAGACAGATTTGGTTGGATAATCCCGGTTGGTGGCTTATGCTCCTCCATGAGAGGTAACAGGCATAAGTAAGTGAATCGTTGAGTGTTGGGGTGATACAGCACATTAAGTTTTTTGAGTGGATAGTTTACAAAGATAATGATTTAACGAAAACACAATATACTTACTTTCCAGTTTATTTTATCGTGTGGTACATTCATTCTAATTCCAGGGAATATTTCAAAATTAAATGGAACTATACGCCATAGTCGATGACTTAGAATGAGGCGTTCATAAATTTTACCAGATGCTGGAGCTGCACGTGGACCACGTGATGGTGGTCCTTTACGTGGTGTTAGAACTGTATCTACTTCAAGTTCATCACCATTGCTTCTTGTTAAAATAGCTTTGACGCATTGTTCTTCAATTCTTAACCTTTTAAATAAAAACAAGCGTATTCACAGTTGTTTTTCCCTTAAACTATTGCAAATGGGCGAATCTCAACATGGAAAAAAAGTTTATTATAGTTAGTTGATCATATTTCTGTGATCCGATTATTTTATCTCGCTAAACTAGATATATGCAGCCAAATGTTCCTCCATTGAAGTTAACCGTATGATTTATGAGCATTTAATCTATGCTGTTGTTACACGTCTGCAAAACTTCATCCATATGTGCTTCAACCCATAAATTAAGAAAAAAAAGAATGATCAGTCTTTTTTACTACGTCTCTCCCACGACCATGAGAAATGTTTAACAAGCAACCATAATAAAAGTTTAGACAGATAAGGAGAGAATAGTGGAGGTTATTAGAGGGAATACATGCGTTTTACAGTATACTTTTGGAGAGTGAATGTAGCACTTTATTATATTTAAAGCAGTCAAATTTGATGTCTAGAACATTTTCAAACTTCGGACAAACTTTCAGAAGTCTTAGCTACATATTTATCCATTGTCTATATCGCTATAGTTAAACCGATTCAGTGGAGGATGAAGCCAATCTATTTACATGCTTCAGTTATGCTAAGAAATTTCCGAGTGAAATTTTAGATTATATAATTGTTTAGTGTACCAAATGATAGATGGAGAATACTGGTGTGCGGCATATGCTCCTCCAAGAGGGGTAACAGGCGCAAAAAGGTAAGTTTTATATTTTTAGTGAAGAAATATGTAATAAATAGGAAATTAATATTTTGAACTAGTGGTCATGAAATGCTCTGACTAGTAGACTTAAGAGAGTATTCAGAATTCTACAAAATTGATTTCAACCCACAATATATTATAATACCAAAATTGTTAAGGAATTCATTTTAATTTTGTGGATTTATGACAAGCTCAGTAAACCTCTGGATCATCTATCTTATACAGAAAATTCATTACTTTTAAATTTATTTCAGCTAAGTTATGTATCAGAATGGAAGTTTGTGGATATTGTAGTAATTTAATGGTTGAATTCATGAGTTATTTAAATCTAAACTACCATCGTGGATTGGTTTAAGTCAGACATTAACACTGTTGGATTCAGGCGTTTGCACGAGACCGAAGGTCTTGAGTTCATGTTCCTCGTGTGGGATCGTGGATTTACACTGATAGAGTCCCATACTAGGAAAAAACGGCCGTCCTGTACTTCCATGTTTTCCATGGTTGTCTATTTTTAATCGACGCATAAATTCAACTATTAAGTTATGTATATTTGTCCTATATGCTCAAGTGGATTTATAGAAAGTATGTAACTATTGTAAAGATGGCTGCTTTAAAAGTCATGCAAAAACATCTTGATAACTAGTTATGTACTCATTCTCGTCTGCTTTCTTTGGAAAAACCATTGGCAGTCACAAATGAGCTAATGTAGCAAACATATTATGCGATAAAAATTGATGTCATAAAGAAAACAATGGTCGAGTAGAAATGATTGACCGGTAATCACTGTCAAAAAGTGATATGGAAAGTGGTATGGAAATGAAGGAACAATAAAGTTTGAGACGATTGATCGACATTTTGCAAATGAAATATTGAACGTATGGTATTCACGTTTTATCAAACAACTCTATAATTTTGTATTCACCTACAGTTGGTTGTTCCCACATGTGTTCCCGTTCACTACAATGGTGGTAGCAGAGAAAGGTAAAACTTCCCAACATAATCAATTACCAATAGAAATCACTAAAGAATATTTATGCATGTATGTGTATGCACAAATGATTAGTGTAGACCACCTTACTTCTCTTCAATTTTCTCTTCAATAATCGTACAGTGTGAATCGAGACCAGTAACTGCTGCACAGACAGCTGTCATTAATAAATTTTTATTATCTTTCTTGTTTGATTTACCCCAACCAACAAGTCGTTTACCATTTGTTGGCGTTAAACTTTTTATTATCTAAAATGTAATTGAAGTATATGGAAAAAGAGTGAATTATTAATTAATATCTTTTTTGGATAGTATTAATTATTGACAAACAGTTGTCTACGCAAAGTACTCAACATTCAATGGCCGGATACTGTCAGAAACAGCCTTCTTTGTAGAGGACAAACCAGCCTCCAGCTGGGGGGGAAATTAGGGAAAGATGTTGGAGGTGCATGAGACATACATTGCGGAAATCACCATACTGCATCATGAGGAAAGCGCTAATTTGGAATCCTGAAGGAAAGAGGAAAAGAGGAAGGCCAAAGAACACATTATGTCGGGAAATAGAAGCAGATATGAAGAGGATGGATAACAATTGGAAAGAATTGCCCAGGACAGAGTTGGATGTAGAATGGTGGTGGGTGGCCTATGCTCCTCGACGAGGGGTAACAGGCGTAAGTAAGTAAGTAAGTAAGTAAGTAAGTAAGTAAGTAAGTAAGTAAGTAAGTAAGTAAGTAAGTAAGTAAGTAAGTAAGTAAGTAAGTAAGTAAGTAAGTAAGTAAGTAAGTAAGTAAGTAAGTAAGTAAGTAAGTAAGTAAGTAAGTAAGTAAGTAAGTAAGTAAGTAAGTAAGTAAGTAAGTAAGTAAGTAAGTAAGTAAGTATACTAAAAATTTGCTTACAGAGATGTTATTATGAATGTGAAATAAATGGAAGCAGGGAATTCTAAACATTATTTTCTTGTAAAAATGCCATACACATTTTAAATGGTATCTTTCAGATGTTTGATTGATTGATAGTATTTTGATACTATCCTAACTGTAGGCTTCTGACCGAAGCATTAAGCATTATAGTAAGTTAGGATAACCACCTTTCTTCAATGTTCATTAATAATGAGATATCTGGCATTGTCGAGCACTTTCCCGTTCATTTAGTGTACCAGTACGGGATACAATGTATGATTTTCATTAGAGATTTCATCTCAATCATCTAGAAATCTTTAGATATGTCTTCTGTGAACAAGACACTGTGGGGGTATCCCGAATCATCATATGAAAAAGCAAATAAATTTAAATTAGGAACCTGAAATCCTCAATTCTTCACTGAAAATTATGCTCATTCATACAGCATTAATTAAATGAATGAACTGGAAAATTCCGGAAAACAATTGATACTGAACGCATATTAAACATTGAAAAATGAAGGCGCTGCAAATTCGTGAACATGTAACCTACCATGTTACTATGCCTTTTTTTATTCATAATTTACATTAAATTAGTTATGAGCCTATTATGTAAACTTTGTTCCAAAATGATCCTAATTATTTACATAGTTTGATTTATTGATTATAGCTCCTTGTGGACTTGTATTGCATTTATATAATCACTCGAATTTTAAGTCTAAGAAATAACACAGTGTCTTTGGATGAGTTTCTGTTGCTCAAATCGGGAAATTGTTAGAAATTTGATATAGTTAGTCAATCGATTGTCGTATACAGTAGCTCAGTTAGTGGGTCAATAACCAGTGGGATAAAAGAAGTGAGAAAAAATTTATCACAGTAGTACTTAATCGAAAGTTTTAATTAGCTTCATAGGGATAAACAACTCTTATCGTTAAGATTTGATAATGATGACGAGTTGATCAAGGTTGACAAATGTAAATTATGGATTCTGAAATATTGACTGAATGACAATTTGTTAAAGAATTGACATAAAGGTCATCATATCTAGATCGCAGATGACACTGAGTCTCGAATAAGTTTTAAAATGTTGTTCAGTGATCTTGTTTCTTTACTGTTTATTCAACCGACATCAAGTTTTGGATTTAGACGCATGCTTTTCGCTAATCAGTTCACTGAACAGAATAGTAACTGCTAAGGGAAAACAACTATTAAATATTTGGGTTATATAATTCTGTTTAATTAGAAATGATACACTTAATGTGATTGTCAAAAAGTGTAATGGTTCGATTTGCAGGTGATTTACTGGCTTTCTCAATGAAATTAACTAATGAGTTTAATGGATTCAGGCTTTTATTTTATGAAATCCTTTCCATAAGTGTCAACATATAATCTTTATATCTCTGAAACCAAAAGTTATCCTCACGTTATGTTTCTGATTAACTTAGATAATTCCCGATTACCAATGGGTTTTAAAACTGATTTCTTTCTGAATATTGTATTTGGGGACTTAGTATCCCTAACACAACAAAGTCAACAATGATGGTCATTTTTCCTTTTATTTAGTGTGTGTGTTGCATAATAGACTGTATTTTCCATCAAAGATTTAATTTAGAGCTCTAACATTTATTATATTTATTTATTTCATTCAGTCCGTAGTGCTGTACTACATTGAACATATTTATAGCAGATAGATGAGAATAACTCCAGTAATCTGTCTCATCCATCTTCTTTTAAGTCATACAATGTATGCGTTTTTGAATATGAGATGTTCACAAAAATTATAAATGTGACTAGTGCCCAGTTTCAAGAGGAAAGTCTCGGAGTTCTAGTGATAAACCTTAACCAGTGGAGTTATGAGGTAATGGAAAATAGTCGCGCATTATCGTGGATTGGTTGAAGTCAAACATTAACATAGTTGGATCCCGGATCAGTGATATCGAGTTGAAGGTCCTGGGTTAGATTCCCACATGCGTTATCGTGGTTCCGCATTGCTGAGGAGATTCTTACCAGGACAAGATGACTGTGTGATTCTTCACGGTTTTCAATAATGCTCTGTCATTGGTAGATTCAAGATCTTTATTAAATATGAAGCTGGTTAAATAATGAATAGGCTGTTCTGTGAAATACCAGCGAATTATGTTTTCAACACCTCTAATATCTTACATTTCATATCTTAATAAGTTTCATAGTAGATCGTTTTCAATCACAACCACTATTACTAGTTAGTTTACATATAAAACTTGATTTTAGCGTGATATACAAAGACATCTATGAATATTTACTTACATTCTTCTTTGTTAATTTAACAACTAAGTAAAATAGTCGACATTAGGTTAGGTTCAGTTAGAAAAATTGATCAAAATTTTGATTTGAACTTCAGGTAGAAAATCTGAATTCACTTTATTTTAATAAAGTTCTGTTCGACTATTTTTAGATTTATGATTCACATGAAACAATGATCTAGGTTTTTATTTGAGTCAAATATTTAATGACCGTCCACAGAAAGCTATAGATTTGAATTTTTCCGTAAAGATAATATTAATTATTATTACTATCTGTCTACGAACTCAAGATATGTGTAAGGTTACACCGCGGTGAATAGAACACGAGTGGAGACAATCGAATGCATTTAGGCACAATTTATAGACTATCTCACTAAATTCTGATAACCATCCCGCTGCAACAGATCGTAATACAATTGCATGTGTATCACCATGTGATCTTCCTGTCCATTTACGACCACCGCCTACATCTGTATCGGCTTTAATTCTTCGAGTACCCATCATATGCTCCCATTTAGTTAATTTACTATCTAATGTTGGATTGGTGTGTAGACTTCTACCTGTAAAATAATAGAATCCAGTGGAATAATATTAAGCGCTGCAAAGATTTTCAGAATTTGATTCATGAATATAAATACACTTTTATTATTTTAGTTCCAATCAACCGTCGATTTACTTTAAATTTGCCATTTCCCGTTTAAACTGTTAAGTTTAATCGATGGATATGTTAAAATAATCACCAATTAGGATCAATATATTTCCATACGTTTTATATGTATACAACAAATCAAGATGACATTTCAGAGTTAACGGCTTCGTAACCGTTGATCATTTGATGAACCGAAACGAGTTAGCTAACAAAGAAAGATGGTAAAGCGATAGTTTCTTAGTGAAATGTTTGGTATAAAATACTAAAAGATTGTTGTGAATGGTAAATGTTGATTTACTGTGGTAGACAAACCAAATAAAGCTTTGTAAGAACCTTTTGAGAAATGAATTGAACTACGTATAAGTAGTATGCAACGAGTAAACAAATAAGAAAAATCATGGGTAAGTTGAGGCTAGAGCACCATGGAAAACCTGGAATCACTGGACGGCCGTTGCGTCTTATTGTGGGACTCCTCAACAGTGCATATCCATGATCCCGCCTCGCGAGATTCGAACCCAGGACCTATCAGTCTCGCGCGCGAGCGCTATAATATCCACAAAATCCCTTCTTATATTAAATAAGAAAGTGTTTCAAATATCTATTTAAATTTGAGAGATTTATATTCACTTACAAAATGGATCATCATCTTTGATTTCTTCAATAGGGTGATCAAATAAAGTACCACCGATTAAACTGAATAAGAATCCAGTAAATTCAACAGAATACCAAAGTAACATAAATGGTGCTGCAACAGATGGTCTATCAACAAATTCTTGTATCATTTCATAACGTTGATAACACCAAAAATATTGAGCAGACCCTTCAATTTCGTTATATGTTGAACTTAAAAAGACAAATGAATGCAATAAAGTATATTTATATAAATATCAGAAAGATGTAGAATGTGACATATAGTTAAAGCCTACTAATACTCGTTAAGTGTATACTACTTATAAATGTATTGAAATAACAATGTCGTATAGTAATTTGTTAAGGTCTGTATTTTTACGTTATCAATGTTAAAAATTCAACCTCCTGATCACCGTCTTCTGGAATAGTTACATCCTGAGGGGGATTACTATGATGTTGAAATTTAATTACAAGTTTTTATTAAGGTTGGATAGTGAGTCATATTGAAATTCAAGATGCTCGTTCCGTCCTATTTGGTACTCACCAATTAACGCTATTACACAATCCATTGTAAAACCATGTCCAGGTACTTACTTAATTGCTAGACGAGTAATGCGACAACGCAATCAGAAAGTTGACCGAAACGACTAATTAAATGTCCAGTGCTGATTATTCTAGGAATTCGTAGTGATACTTGTTCCCTATTGTTTATTTTCTAATAGTTTTGAGCTAACTTTAGAATCTATCTACTTAAGATAATGACTTGTTCGAAGGAAGAAAAATCTAAAATCTACTGTGTTCTACGTAGTAATAAAGTAATTTATAGGAAAACATGATCAGCAGTACCTTTACGAGGCTTATCATTTCCTAGATAATTGGGGAATCACTTTTTAAAACATACTATAGTAGTGAATATGTTTTTTCTAATATGTAAATATAATTTGAATCATGTCTTAAACTTTACAAATGTTTTCACCTTTCCTACTGATTATTCATTAAGTATAAATTACAAGATCTTAGTGTTTTTGATGATGAATGGCACTGTATCTCTCTATCTTTGTCATATCTCTCAAGTAAAGACAAACGATTTTTCAATGGAGGAGTATTTTTACAGATAGTTAGCTGAGACCGTATTCTTCTGGAGGTTATTATTCAGTAATAGTGTCAGTCAACAGACATCATAATCATATAAGGAATGATTCTTATTCTTTCTACAAAAAAGCTATTCAACCAGATGAAATTTCATATTCTGAAAGCAGGAATGAATAATAAACTGAGAAATGTTTTAGTGTATTGAAATAATTAAATAATGTATCTGTAAATTGTACGAATCTAATACCAACTCATTGGTCCCTTTCAAGAAAAGAGGGATTCGTCCAAATAGGTATTAATATAACCAAAGAAATATCATATGAACCATTATTTTTGAGATCGTTTAAAAAACACATTCTTTACTGGCTGATAAAATATTCTGAGAGAAATGAAATTCAATGCACGAGAAGACACATTCATACTTATTGAACCATCTTGATATAGCGTAATTATGTAATCATTTAAAGTTGTATTTTAAAATTCACATCATATATTGACCTCAGTTAAGTGATCATGAGTATACGAGTATTACAACCAGACGAAATAGCTGTCCAGTGCTTCGTCGTTTCCAATAGTTGCCTAACTTAGTTCGATTTATGAATCAAATTATAGAAATCAGCAATCTCCACAAACCCATTGAACTAAAAATGTCATAATTAATTTTGTATTGGTTATTTGAAGCTTGTCATTTGAGTTTAACACTGCAACTGTTCAGTCTCTTATTGGCATATGTGCATTCTGTGCGGATGTTTCGATATTACCTTAAGTCACAAGCATTATAAGCAGAGGTGAATCGTGACGAGCAGTGGAATTAAAGACGCGTGTTTCGTCTTATTTGAGGTTATCCCTGCACTCCATGACTGGAACCCAGTATCGTTTGCTTCAAATGCCATCGTGTTATCCACTTAGCTACTGAGTCCAGATAACCACTAGATTATGCAATGGAATGCACGTACAACCAGCTGACAAGTCACAAATAGAATGAAAAGTGCGTCCTGGATTCCGCTGCTGGTCATCATCCATCTTCGCTTAAAAAAGTATGTTTACTGAATTGTTTACTGTTCATGTTGTAGCGAGATCCGACGCTTTACAAATGTACACTCAGGCAAGATTTTGTATTGTTATTATTATATGTACATATGTAGTAGGGTTTTTAGATAAAATCTTGTTGAAATATTTCTGATGTTTATATTGCTGGCCTTTTCGTGAAGAATCATATCTTAGTCCGTTATTGATATTCAGGATTGATTTTTCATCTGTATTCAATGACATTTATTCGTCTTGAGTAGATTTCCTTAATATTAGCCATCCTGCTTATACATAAAAACATACGACTCCAAAGAGGATTATTCTAGCATGTCATATGTCAACATATTTCGATAGATTTATAGAAAAAAACACAGATTTACATTCAAACAACTGACACATAAATTTGAGATGGTAGAGAAGATTTGTATCTTGAATGGATGGTTTCCGTGGAGCTTCATTATCTGAGCTGGATGGTTTAAATTTGAAGCTTTCATTATTTTTCTGAAGATTATCAATACTAACGTCATATAAACGTAAGGCATTTATAAGACAAGCTATGAATCATATGTTGAGAAAGGTGAACAACTCACTTCTATATGAAATGTGTTTTGATAATATCATCCAACAGAACAATGAAAGCTTCACAACTAAACTATTCAGCTCAGAGGATAAAGTTTCATCAAAAAGATGATTTATTTTCTTGATGCAACATTTAGGAATATTCAAAAAACATCTTTTCTTAATTTTTAAAACTTACGTGAATGTTGCAACTAATAAATTGAACATAAGTACTTGTGTTAATAAAATAAATGCACTTAACATAATTATAGTTAAACGACGTGATGAAGTTTGTGGACACATTCCATTGTCACGACAAGATGAACCTATTCAGAATATTAAAAAATAAAAAGTCAATACATTATAGTTTAATATATAGAAAATGTTTTAGATAGACACAAACATTTCACTAGTAAATTATTCACAATCGTCTAGCATACGAGGTGGCGGAGTTGTTAAGGCGATAGATTGCTAGTCCATTTAGGTTTCCCCACGTGGTTTCGAATCCCATCCCCGTCGAGTGTCGCTTTGCTCCCAAATGACCTGGTACGGCCGAGAGTGGGGAGAGTCCGCTCTCCCTCTCAAAATGCTCTCACATGGCCACACGTATACAACCACTACCAGGGAAGTCCTACTCACTGCCTTCTCGTGGCATTACTGTTGTTTACGAAATTGAGAGGATGAAAAGCGAATGTCCGGCGCTTTAACCGGGTTGGTGGACACGGAAAGTCTACCTAGGGGAGTTGGAAAACCCTGACTCCAAACCAATGGTGTGCATGGGCCTAAGTACTTTGAAGGAACAAATGGCGTATGAACCAGTTCTTGGTCACCGGCTACCATGGGACTGTATCTCTTTACGATGCTCCACTGCCTTGTAGATCAGACCTTTAGATCAAAGGCTCGGGGTGTGACCTTCTAAGAAAACCACCTGCTTTAGTTCGGGCACCTGGGCAGTATAACAGCCCTTACAAAAATCAAATGAGATTTGTGGGGCGCACATGTATCTGGTGCTTCCTTGTACCAATATTTATGTGTTTAAATAATAAATAAAATAAAGTATACTCTCACGGAATATGACTTCAATGAAGTTCAACAATCTCCACAATTCCTCACTTTAAGATTTGTCTTAAAATTTTCGTTCATTAGCTTGGTATACTGTTCAAACGTCAATTAATGATTAAAACATTAAGATTTACCTGTGATTCTTAAAAGGAAGTTACCACTTTCAAGAGGTTCGTGAGCTGCTAGTTTTCGATTATAGGTGTCTTCAAAGAATTGCTCGTATATCCTGGAACCACCGAGTAAGTAATGCAGTTGTTAGGAAACGGATACTAGGTAAGGATGGCAAATCGATTGATGAAGTAGTGAAACGTCATCAGTTGAGATGGCTGGGACACGTGTTACGTATGTCCAACCACCGACTACCCCGTCGTGCAATGTTTTATGGTGTAGAAGTAGATTGGAAGAAAGCTAAGGACAGCCAGACCAAAACGTGGCACAAATCGATGAAGTCGCTGACAAGTGGACTGGGCCATGTTGGTAGGTATAGACTACCTGGTTGGGATTCGCGAGATGATAGCAATCGATGGTTAGAGACCTTGAATGACATGGCTCAAAATCGTTTGCAATGGCGAAGGTGCATCCACTCTTTGTGTTCTCCCATATTCTAATCTTCTGAATTCTTCATGTCTCTATATTTTTTATCTTTCCAAATTTATTTCACTGTATTATACTCCTTCAATAACATCTTCAAACCCTAATCTTTCACATTGCTGCTCAAACTCTTATTACCTCTACCACTATGGGATTTGAATCGACAACTGCATCTCTGTGCTAATGTGGTATGGCAACTTGAACTGATGTACGTACGTACGAAGTTCTACATTGTGACTGACTAACTTTCAAGAGTGATCTAATGCTTTGAGACTGAAACAACACTTTCACTTCTAAAGGTTAACTTCATTTATACTATACATTAGAAATACGATCAGATGTAATAAATATATATTAATTTGTGAAATACCTGAAATCCTTATGTAACCATAATCGAAGCTGTTTGTATGTAGTATGTTTAATAAGTAAGTTCATCATAAACTTCTGTGAAGTCCTTTAATGAATTAAAATGCTCAATCAGTAGTTACTGACCTCAGATAATATTTTCAACTAATTATATAATCGTACTCAAATCTCTGCTTCATATTTACGTAAACTAATCTAATATAATGTGTCCAGTGTATATTTTGGGATCAGGTGGACGTTTAAATGCATTGATAGAATATATTATTCACAAATGAATTGTGAACGATTATGATAATGATTGGTTGTTTGCTTAATCAGACTTCTAGATAGTCTGACAAAGACTAGTTGTATTATATATTCTCTTACCTTCACTAATATTGTGATGGTTGTTAGTTTTTGGTGCAGAAATATACTTACGTTTTAGTCAGGCTAGTCATCTGTTCATCTGAGTTGTGTTGATGTCCTGTAGAATAGACACTAGAAGGGTATCTAGTGTAAATATTCAAATGTAAAAGCGGTATTATCGTAATAAATCAGAAACTAATCACATCTCATCATTATTTTGATTTTGAAACGTATCTTATACGCCCATATACTTCGATTGCCAATATTCTTTATAACCTCATTACCTCTACTGTTGACATCATATTAAGTAATGAAAATGATGATATAATCACAATCAAATATTGGTATTTAATCATTCTGTCTCTCTAAGCTCAAATATCTTCTTTATATTCAAAAACTAGAATTGACAATGAAACAAAAAAACACAAGAAGAATTGTTTGAGCTGCTTACCATCGCCAGCTAAATCGTCTAAACGAAATTCACCCAACATTTGAAAATATGATGTCATAATTACATCATAAAGACTACGTATTCCAGGTTTAGACTGATATGTTGAATTTATAGCTGTGATAAAGAAAATTGAAATGAAAACATATCTGATTAAGAATCTTTAGGATATTCAGACTTTTTGACGAATACTTCAATTCTAAATATGCATACATCACTATTACGAGCTGGATACTAATCAATCTCATATCTAATTACGCGAAAATTCTGTCAATCATTACTGCTGGAAGTAAAAAAATCCTAATGTAAATACTGTTCGACGGAAACTGTATTTTGTTTTTGAACGACATTAGCTAAATTTTACCATCTATAACAAAAACTGAAAGAACATTTGTCATTTTTACCTGTCAAAATATTATTAAAAAAACTTTTTTCATCGAGTAGTATTGTGGTGTGGGCTACTTATATGCACATAAGTAATATATGACGATGGTTAAACATAGAATGTATTACAGTAGAAGATTGATAAGGAAAGAACGTCAACGAAACGCAATTGGTATGAAAATGTATGAACAATAAAATCTGAGACAATGGACTGATATTTGTAAAAGGAACAGTGAAGCTTGATAGAATGGATTTTTATTTTGCAAATTAACTATTTACTAAATGGTTATCAGATTTTAGTGAGATATTCTGTAATTTTTATGCCCAAGTACAATTGATTGTCTCCACTAGTGTTCTTGTTCACTGCAGTATCAATGCTGTTTTGAATGCTACAGATTTTCTTTAAATATCAAAGGACGAAAAGGCTGAGTTGAAGGAGTCCCAGAAGGAAAGTAATGCATATCTTGGAACCTATTGACACCCGCTACAACAAATATCAGTTATTGTTAAGAAAACAATTCATAGGGGGTCATGTGTAAATAAAGATTGATCAATTAGATTATAAACATTTACAACAGCAAGACACAAACATAAATAGCTTATACCTAAATGTATTTTATAATCGTTTTAAAGAAAGGAGAACAAGATCCAATATTATTTATAGTTCAGTTTTAATGTTAGAACTTAGATGTTGATATTGACGAATTACTCAGAATACAGTTTTCGAGTCATCGATTTTCTGTCTCTGTAGTCACCCAAATCATGTTGTGGAACATTTTTCTGTACAGATTAATTCATTATCCATACAGAGAAATTTTATAGTCCCATAGTTTTCAATAATCGTGAAGCTAGGTTGTTAATTTGCCCTAGGTATGTATCCAATAAATAATATATTTTCAAAAAAAAAGTGTTTAAATGTATATTTACACGTCCTGACAGGATGATCGCAAGGACATCCTATTAATCTCTCGAAACGCTTGACTGGCTTAAGTATAGAGTCACATATTCATAGGCGAAATTTTTTTTAACCAAATGCATTAAGTTCACTGAATGATATGCTTTGATTTTAGCTACTTAGTTTTGATAGTATCCAGAATATTAAGGAAAATCATTTCATTCAAATCATCCACCTAAGAGAACACAGGACTACTAGCATGTATTTACTTAAGGTAAAAATCGGTTATCAATTTTAAAAATTCATTTGAAGTTTTCAACTTTCAATTACTTCTTCATTTATAAGCAAAGATGAATGGTGGCTAACAGTGGAATCCAGGACGCGAGCTTCGTTCTGTTTGGGACTGTTCAGCTGTATGTACCTGCATGAGTTAATATTCACGCCTGTACTAAAACCCAGTACCGTTCGCTTCAAACTCCATCGCGTTATCCACTGCTAGCTACCATCCATCCCTGCTTATAATCCTGGTGACTTAAGACAATATCCAGGCATCCTTACAGAATGCACATATACCAATAAGAAGCTGATCAACTACAGTCCTACATATCTATAGGAAGATTCAAATAAACAATACAAAGTGAATTCTTCATTCATGGCAAACTTACTCATCTTTTCTTGTTCATAATCACTGTAATATCCATTAGCGAACGAAATTGATTGAAATGCGATCCCATATCCGATTTGACATACCAAAAGAATGAGTAGAAATGGTAAGAGATCATGAACTACCTAATATTAATCAAGAATGTAAAAAAACGACACACAAATAATGATAATTCAATGTTAGCTAAGCACGTGATTTATTACACTAAATGAATTTTAATGTATTTATCAAGATGATTCAATATGAACTGTAGCAACTTAAAGTAATGCACATTTAATCAAGATGGTAGACAGTTGTATAAGCATGGCTCGTTGACAAACTCAAGGAAGCCTCAAGAAGCCCATAAATCGCCGAAGATATTCCATTCAATCACCGTTGAGTGAACATTCTAGAATGTCGACGTGTAGTTTCCCTATTGGATGAATAAGAAGAACCCCCTATATGCCTATTGACTGTCCGAAACGATGATTTACTTTCAGCCAAAAACTATAAATACATGAGATTTTTGTACTATATTTGACACTGTTTGGAATATCATTCCTACTTACTAGTCTTCTGTATTCTCATTTCGTGACTTCAGAGGGTTTTAGCGTTCGAGTGCTCAAGTATTACGCGACATACTAAGAATCTAAGTTCGAGATATAACAAGTGTTTTCTTTTTTTGTTATTGTTATACAATTAACATGTATTAATATAAATTATAATCACACACTAATCTTAGTTTAATAGTTATTAAAAATTAGAAAGTATTAGATAACTGCTTTGTTGTATTACGAAATTCTTTGGCATTGAAGATCCACTATCCTGCCACAGGAGGTCAAATTCAGAGCTTTTACGTTTTGTAGAGAACGTTTAACCTTTAAAAAATAAATGTAAAATTGGTGAGACTATAATCGATGGATGACATTTGAGTGACGTTAAAGTGATCTTGAGAATGTCTGTCTATCAATTAGGTTTAAATGAGGGTTATAAACCAGTGTGAGGAATTAGATTTAAGATTTTCATCACGAACTGACATTAGCTACAATGTCAAAACGCTGTTTAGCTAAATAGATGAATGAGTTTCGCGCTAAAATCTAAGTCCCCTTATCTTATATCGGATTGTTTCGTCTATAAATTATATTTTCGCCATAAAATCTATCAATCTCTACAAATTCTCTGTATTAATAATTTAGTGTAATTTTATTAAAATCTTTATTTTTCATCCGTTTATCATCAATTGACATTGATGGAACTCTTCTAATAAGAATATTTAGTTAGCATACTTCCACTATGCTGACAGTTTGATTTCAAAGAGTATACTTGTTTTATATATTTGAAATCATGAGTTAATTGAAGTTAGACCACCATGGAAAACCTAAAACCACTGGACAGCCGTTTCGTCCTATTATGGGACTCCACAGCAGTGCGCATCCACGATCCCATCTCGCAAGATTCCAACCCAGGACCTAACAGTCTTGCGCGCGAGCACTTAAACACTAGACCACTGGGGCAGCATCCAACGGTGTTAATGTCTAACTTCAACTAATCAACTTGTTTATTTATTAGTAAAGGAAAACTTATATTTTACTATACATCACTAATAAAAATAAGAACATTCTAACCTTAAATAATAATGAATCTCTACACTTATTCAACAATATTTATAAATAAAATACGAAAACAAAATATTCCCCTTTTTTCCTTTTTTTTAAAAAATTTTTATTTCTCACCCCCTTTCCCCCTCTCCTCCTTCCACAACTTACCATTCTATTAATCATAATTAATTTTGGTCCAAGTACAATACTAAAACTAAATATATACATTAATCTTACATAAAATGCAAATAAACTAAATGAATAAAATATACGTGATATTGTAAATAAATCATTAGTTAATATATAATATGATAAATCAGGTGACCAATTATTGAATAAATATTGATTATTATTATTATTATCATTATTATTCATTATTTTTATTGATTTATTGATTATCATTTGTTCATTCGATAAATTGAATGAATTATTGATTAAATTATATTGATTATTGATTAAATTTTCATTATATAAATGATTTAATTCTGATATAATTGATTGATTAAAATGATTAAATAATTCATTATTATTATTATTTAATTGATTAATTTGTTCATATAATAAATTATAATAAGCATGAATTTTAACACTTAAACCGATAATATATAAACTAATAGCAAGACAATCTAATTTATTCCAACCATCACTGATATATTCTTTAAAACTTGAACCAGGACCAAAAGCCTATAGAAAAATAAAATAAAAATGAATGAATTAAGATATAATATTAAATAATTTATGAAATAATATAGAGTTAACAAATAATGAATTTATGAGTCGATTGAAATTAGATTATCATGAAAAACCTGGAAGTACTGGACGACTGTTTGGTACTAGTGTCGGACTCTTCAACAGTGTTTAATCATGATCCCGCCTGTCGGGATTCGAACCCAGAACCTATTGGTCTTGCAATCAAACGCTTGAACTGCAAACTAATTAGCCGGCATTCAATGGTGTTCATGTTTAACTTCAACCAATCCATGAAATTGAGCCACCGTCTACCATTGACTACAGTGAATTACTATCTCACAACAGACCTGGTTGAATTTCACTGGTCAGAACTTTTTCTAGGTTCTCATGGTGGTAAAGCTTTAATTGACTCATGAACTCAACTGTTAAATTACTTTAATCTCCACAAAACCCCTTTCTGATAATAAAGACTTTTTTAGCAGAATATTGAAGTATTAATCAAAGATTAGTTTAAAAAAGCACTTTTAATGGGTTAAACCTAAATGATCTAAAGTCCGTTGTAAGCACGTAAAAAAATGTAATTCATTAATCAATTGAACAGTATGAATTCAATGGTTGATCATTTGTTAATAACAAAAAGTGAAAACTACTACCATGTGTCATGGGATTTTTTCCTGGCAAACTAAATCAGTAGTCTGGTAATGTTTTAAAAACTTGTAGTGACTTTGCTTCGTTAGTCAATTACCTTTGTAACCGTTATGATATAAATCTAAACGGTGTTTGAAATCAGAAGGTGATAAGAAGCAGCGACGACAGTTTATTAGTGTATAGAACAGATCACAAGGCTACAAGCACATCAAGCGAATTTGAAGCAGAAAAGCGAACATATGTGAGTGAGCGAATACAGAGGCAAGTTTATAATCAAACTCATAAGGACACAGCAAGGCAAAGCAGAGGCTAATAATAGTATTACCATTCATATATGCATGGGAAAGAGCGACCAACATTTCAGCTAAACTCTGCAATATGATAAAGAGTACACATTTATACAGACATAATAATGATCATAATAGCACAAAGAAATATGCGAAGTGTTGTTGCTCAAATAACATTGTCTGTTAAGTAAGTTAATAAAAGCGCTTCACCAAAATCAACCATAATCGAAATTGGTTGTAGGATGGTTGCTATAAGCTCACCTCCACTTCAAGTGAATATTTCTGACAGTCTCGAAAATGTAACTCCAATTATGAACTATTAATTCGGCAATTAAATTGTTTGTTTGTTCACTATACTAGGTGTTTATGGAATTTCAAAAAAAGTGATAACACATTTGTCACGGAATAAATTTTTTAATCATTCGATGTTTAATCTATAGTTAATTTGCATAGTTGTTTTATAGTCATCATTAAATGACCTTAGACTAAGTTTAGACTTAGACTATTTGAAACTAGGAAACACTAGATTGGTTTTTTTTCCTGGTATGGGACTCTCCAACAATGTTAATCCACAGTCCCATCGAGAATCGAACCCAAGATCTACTAGTCTTTAATTTTCACAACACTGAGCAACTATCCAATGCTTGATTTATGTAACTCCAGTCAACCTGAGACATTACGTCACCATCATCCATCGATATTGATAATTTTTGTCTTATTTTCATGGTTAAACTCTGTTGAACTCGACTTCACACTAGAACTCCGGAAACTATATTTTGAAGATAGACACTAGCAAACACACGATGATTTTTAGTATGAGGAGCCGAAGAAGTTGTCAAATTTTGCGGCTGATGAAGGTCGAAAGTCTTTGAATAGGTGTTTTTCAATAGTATGGGACTCTTCAATAGTGCACATCTGCAGCCTCACAACGGATAAATGATCCAACCTTTACTATATTTAACAATGAATGTCCTCAGTATCGGATATATTAACAGAAACTTTATTCTATGTTTAAGTTTTATTATTGTCAAGTTACATCATCGTCTAAATAGAATAAATGAGAGGCGAAATGAATTGTAATTTTTAATTTAGTCTTTCAGTTTAGTATCTATAACTTTCGTAATTCTCGTTAATAATTGCAAGATCCAACTATTGTTCATTGTAAATCAGATTTGTATCATCCACTTTGATCAGTAGTATCTAATATTTTTCGAAAAAATGTTGTTTTACATGTTCATATTATCTGTTTTTTAATCATTCCCAATAAATTCTCCAAATCTATGTTATGCAATCAATGTCTCAAGTTAGCACTGAAAATTTCTGTCACATAACATGAGTACTGTCAGCTCTAATGTGAATAGAAAAAAAGTACACAAATAATTTCAGATTTTGATCTGTATTCTGAAACTCCTAGAAACCCACGCATACATTCATGATGAGTGAAAAATACCTACCTACCTACCTACCTACATGCATGCATACATACATACATACATACATACTACATATATACACACTTACATACGTACGTTGTACGTATGTAGAAAGATGTAAGGACAGTCCTTATTTATTTACATAATCCAACTGATATATCCGATTATACAATTTGACAATGAATTCATATTTTTTTAATCTTCAACTAGGAATTACATTAACCAACTCACTTGTTTTAATTCTTCACATAGAAATGATCCAACCATTAAAGTTGTAAAAATATCTAAATAAGAAAAACTCAATGTCAATGATGTTAGAAGTGTTTTACTGAAGACAATCAGAAACAACAAGTAGAATATCTGGGTAGGTAAACAAAAAGAAAAAAAACAAAGAAAAAGATGTATAAAAAATGGGGGGAAAATTAAATGAATACAGTTGAACAACTGAATTATTTGGTTGTATCTGTGTTAATACTTAGAGAAATGTGTAACCTTAAACAGGACTAGTTGATATATAATGATGAATTTTATGCTAAAATATATGATTGTGACGGATATAGGCACAGTCATTGAGGGAAACATCAACATATGATTAAAATAACCCACTGTGTCATTAAATAAAGAGAATTCTTACATCGTTCCTAAATCTAGGAAACACTGAATCGGTTTTTTTTCCCGATATGGGACTTGCCAACAATGTTAACCCCAGCCCCATCGAGAATTGACCCCAAAACCTTCAGGCCTAGCTACTACATTATAGGAATGTATAGCTTAAGTAAATCATTTCGTTGATCAGGAAATTTTCTTTGCTGAATTCTCTTTATTTTTAAGCATCAACATCTTGTATTTCCTATTCTTTGAAATGAATGAAATTACAACTTTGTTAGTTATAATGTTAAGTAGCTGGAAATCGCAATAGAGTAGGGCTGTATTTCTAACCCAAATTATTTATACATAGTTTTACTAAACAAGTTGAATACCATTTAATTTCTAAGTAGAAATTTCTAAAGTACTGTTTTATACTTATGTTAGTATTTAGTTTACAGAACCCCAAAAAATAGCACCAGTTGATTTTAAAAAAAGCAATGATTATCAAAAGGGTTTTTTGTATAGATTTCAGTAATTATATAGTTAAAATCATGAGTCAGTTGAAGCTACACCACCATGGAAAATATAGAAGCGCTGTTTTAAGGCCGTTTCGTCTTATAGTGGGACTTTTCAGCAATGCGCATCCACGATCCCGCCTCTCCCTAAATTCCAACCCAGCACCTATCAGTCTCACTCGCGTGCGCTTAAACACTAGACCACTGAACCGGCATCTAACGGTGTCAATTTCTAACATCAACCAATCCACGAAGTTGAGCAACCATTCACCATTGTCTTTAGTGAGTTGATATCTTCCAACAAACCTGGTTGAACTCCAATGGTCACTGCTTCTAACTAGAACTCCAGGAAATATCTATTGGATGCGCACTGCTGAGGAGTCCCACAATAGGACGAAAGGGCCATCCTGTGCTTCCAGGTTTTCCATGGTGGTCTAGCTTCAGTTGACTAATGATTTCAACTATAAAAGTAATAATGTTGATTTAGGGTGAAATTAACCATCTTTTATACAGTGTTTAGACAAATTAAGATATCTAGCACTTTCATATTCATTTAATGTGTCAGTGCTGAATATAAGTATGTAATTCTTACTAGGGACTGTATTTTGTTCATTTAAAGTTAACTGCACATGTCTTCTGTGAACAGCACATTCAAGTATATTTTAATGCATGATAACAGCAAATAAAGTGAAATTTAGAGCCTAAAATGAAATCCTCAGTGAAAATTATGCTCCTACATGTCGACATTCACATTGAATGAACGGTTAAATACTCGAAATGCATGATACTATGCACATATTGAACTTTATAAATGCATTTATTATAAATTCACGGACACTTATCCTATCCTTAGTTTCCGCTATTATTATCAAAGGTTATTCTGATAGAAGGTGGGCTCCGGTAAACAAAAGTGGTTAAGGGAAATCTAAATTTAATACCTCTAATTTGGTGAACGATATTTCAAAGAGAGTTGATATGATCTCCAAGTGAGCGGAGGCAGATGGGCAGTAAGCTTTTCTAAATCTTATGAAATTATTTCATATTGTGAATTCCTTTCTGTTGTCGATTTCTAATCCGATTTTAATTCAGACTTCACTGCGTTTGTGAGCTGCTAGTATTTGTTTTAAATAAACTATTGTTTATATAGTTGGTTATGAATCGTCTATATGCGTATAGCATGATCCAGTGAAGTCTTCTAATTATCTAGTATCATATAATCTGGTGTTAAGGTCATATTGTATCGCGGTAAACAGGAAAATATCTCCACTTCACGTTCACAACAGGTGTATTTATAGACAGGGATTTTATATTATTTTAACTGTGACCTATTTTTTGATTTACCTTTCACTGTTCAACTAACGATGAAATGAGTAATGAGCTTCGTAACACAAATTGTCTGATTATGTATTTCATTTCAATTATAAAGCTAAAATTTGTAAAGTCTACTTACGGTTTACTTTCGGAAATACGATTTAAGTTTGTAATACTTCTTTAAAATATTGTGTTCATTTCCCTAAATTTATTAGGAATTGATCTACCGAATAAAATAAGGCGCATCACATAATGTCACAAAGTCAAATGCTGAACACAAGACAAATGAGGCTAGGTTATTGTCATTTAGTGAATACTTTACCTGACCAATGTAGTATATCGCTTGTCACATTTTGAATCAGTCCAGCTACCCATACATAAACAAGGAAGGTAGGTAGAATTGATCAGCTTTTAAGAATGTAGCTTTTTATACGACTTTAGTCTTTTCTCTTTGTGTAGTTGCTTACCCAAGAGTTAAATGGTGTCTTTGCGATTGAATATGACTCGAGGAATACAAGGTATATATTTTCACATTCTGAAAAATACATATGAATACATATTTCATTTGTCGTGAAACTCATGGGTGGAGCAAATGTCAAGATAAGTGTAACCACTGTGTCTTGGACATATTATTCATCACTTTGAACATTATAAAGTCTGATAGATGTAGTCAATATTATCAATATAATTTCAGATGTAATTTCCTTCTAATGCTTAAAACGATAAAGAAATGACTATTTAAACGTACCGTATTATAAACAAATCGTATAATTGGAGCTTGATAGAATATTTGAATCCGTTCAATTTGAGAACTGATTCTAAAATGAAACAAAGTAAGAAGGAAATATGAAATAACACATTTTTACCTTGTAAACATAAATTTCACAGATTATATGATTCAACTGATAAATTTTCATGTGATTTTAGTAGTTAAATTCATCAGTCGCTTTGAGCTAGACCACCATTGAAAACCTGGAAGCACTGAACGGTCGTTTTGTCTTAGTATGGGGCTTCTCATCAGTGACGAATTCCACTCAATTGATTGTTCCACGATGATCCGTAGTGTCGCAATTCGGTCTGTGCATGACCGATCCTTACGGAATCCACTCTGCTGATCTAGAAGTTGGGCATCTACTGCATCCTTCATCCGGTTCAGCAACACTGTTGAAAACTTTTCCTGGTACTAACAGAAAACTGATGTCTCTGTAATTCTCACATTTGCTCAGATCTCCTTTCTTTGGTATCTTGATGATATGTCCTTCTTTTCAGTCCGTTGGCACTTGTTCCTCCTCCCAAATCTTCTTGAATAGAAGGTTAAGTGTGTTTGAAATTACTTCAATGTCTGACTTCAGTGATTCAGCCGATATATTGTCAGGTCCTGCTGCCTTCCCATTCTTGATTTGTCGGATGCTATGTCGGTTGTAATACAATAATAGTTATCTTGAATTCATAACTATAGAGTTTCATCAAAAAACTATCGAACATGATCATTTGCTTTAATACTCTTTGTATAAGTTGCAAGATTCCTGAAAAATCTATTCAATTTAAATGTAGTGTGGTGTGTGCTACTGATGTCGACAGATATAAGTCGTATGTATTATCACTCGATTGTGGAATACCTGGAGGCAGAGGGTTGAGAAGATCGGTGAGAAGAAAACAAGAACGAGAATGGTGAATGATCGTATAGAAATGAAGGAACAATGAAGTCTGAGACAGTTGATTAATATTTTGCAAACAAAGTATTTGCTCTATGGTTCTCAAATTTTACTGAGAGATTCTGTAATTCTGTATTCAAATGCATCCGGTTGTCCCCTGTTGTGTTCTCGCTCACCGAAGTAGAAATAAGCTTATAAGAAGTTGTATCTCTTCAATTTTGTCCATGGTTAAGATTAGTTCATTATTTTTGAACTGCTGAAGATAGACATTTGTATGAACATGTTGAAAACTTCAATTAATAAGTCTCTTTTGGCATATGTACATTCGAAGATTATCTCAATATTTTCATATGATCACAAATTTTAATTATAGTTGGATTGTGACTGGGATTGGGATCCAAGATGCTCGTTTGTTGTAATTCAGTGCTCATAAGTGGATTTACCTGAAATCCACTGTTAACATTCAAACAAACTAAAACCCGGTAGAGTTGACAGGCTTTTATAACTTCACAATACTCGTTTCATTGGTTCATGTAAAATCTTTTCAAATGACATTTTTTTGTTAAGTGTTACATTTCATTTTCTTGAAGAAATCGTAACTGTTTTGCTGACCAGTTTATTTACCTTTTGATGTCTGTGCACCTAAGAGCTTGGAGCACGGATTATCCTTTTAGCTTTTTTTCAGCAATCATCACTTCAGTCAGCTGATTGCAAATTCACGCATGCCTTCATTGATTTTACTATTATAACAACATAAATATTTGTCAATAATTTTAATTAGTTTCCAAATGAATAAAAGATTTATCATAGATGTAGATTACTCGTTTGAAATTTCATATTCAAAAAAACGGAATCTCAATATTCTAATAATAGTAATGTTCGTAGTTATAATCACTAACCGATCTCAACCGACTTACTTACTTACTTACTTACGCCTGTCACCCCTCATTGAGGAGTATATGCCATTCACCAGTATTCTCCATTCAACCCTGTCCTGGGCAATCCTTCCCGTTTCTTTCCAGTTAACATTCATCCTTTTCATATCTGCTTCTGTTTCCCGGTGTAACGTGTTCTTTGGCCTTCGTCTTCTCCTCTGCTCTTCAAGATTCCAAGTTAGGGATTGCCTCATGATGCAGTATGGTGATTTTCTTAATATATGGCCGATCCACTTCCAACGTCTTTTCCTAATTTGCTCTTCATTTGGAAGCTTGTCTGTCCTTTCCTATAAAACGCTGTTGTTGATAGTATCCGGCCAGTAAATGTTGAGTATTTTTCGTGAACAACTGTTTATAAGTACTTGTACTTTCTTGACGATGGATGTAGTAGTTCTCCAAGTTTCAGCTACGTACAGTAGGACTGTCTTGATGTCCGTATTGAGGATTCTGACTTTTGTATTGTCTTACAGTTGTTTTGAGTTCCATATGTTCTTCAATTGTAGGAATACAGCCCATGCTTTGCCAATCCTCGCCTTTACATCTGCATTCGATCCTTCTTGTTCATCAATGATGCTTCCCAGGTAGGTGAATGTTTCCACCTCTTCCAGAGTTTCTCCATCAAGTGTGTTTGGGTTAGTGTTCTCTGTGTTGTATTTGAGAATCTTGCTTTTTCCTCTGTGTATGTTGAGGCCTATTGAAGCAGAGGCTGCTGCTACATTTGTTGTCTTCGTCTCTATTTGCTCGTGTGTATGAGATAGCAGGGTTAGGTCATCTGTGAAGTCCATGAAATGTCCATTCTATTCCATGCTTCCCCTCAGATGTTGACGTCTTCATAATCCAGTGAATCACCAGAAGAAAGAGCAAGGGGGGGAGTAGACAGCTGTCTTCCATAATAATAATATTAATAATAATAATTATTATTAATGGCTTTATTCAATATTATAATCTGGTACAATATAAAATTCTCGGCACGAGTTATTTCAACAATATTTTTTTTACCAAAACAAAAAAAATAGAAAAGAAATGAAAAAAAAGAGTCTGCACTGTAGTCCTTCGTATGAGTTCTGGATAATGTTGACAATCTTCTCAGGAATTCCGAATCTCAGCTAAACCATCACTAAATACCTAGAAGCACCATACGACCATTTCATCCTAGTATTTGAATCCTCGTCACGACTAGTTCGTGATTTATACTATGAAGATTCTACAATCTTCACAAATCCCTTTTTACTAAAAATAGTTTTAAAAATTTATTTAATCAATGAGACAAATAATTTACCTTGTTCCTAATGTAATTGGTTTATCTAAATGAATTGATTGACGTTGAGGTTTAACTAAATTTTCCACATCCGATCGTGATTTATTTTCATCCTGATCAGTTTTTGTCTTTAAAATAAAAAAAAATTTTTCAGTAAAAAAGAAATGATATTAGTATGTAAGAAGATACACAGAACAACGAATAATAGAGGTTTAAGTTAGTTAGAAAGGTATAAAATAGGGAACTATTTCTCCAAAAAAATTGTTCTTTTTTAGCCACCATCAAAGTTTTATCTTATGATATTCTTATGGATGCTTTGAATAAACATATTGTAATGGTTATAGTAACTGTATTTAGTTGTCTATTTGTGTATTGTCGCAGCATATTCATTCTCGTTATTGCATGAATATATTCAATCATTTTAACAGTATCATGTGAGGATGTAGCTTAAGTGTCTGAATGTTTAATTTCTAACTTTTGAATTTAAAACGTGAAGTCATATATGCGTACACTAGTCTGGAAAAAACATAATTTACCATTTGGCTTCATATAAACAATAAAGTTTTCTACAGAAGAAATCATCAGTCAATTGAAGCTAGACCACCATGGAAACCTGGAAGCACTAGATAGCCGTTTCTTCCTATTATGAGACTATTTAGCAATGCGCACCCCGATCCCGCCTCGCGAGATTCTAACCCAGCACCTATCAGTCTCGCGCGAGAGCGCCTAACCACTAGACCACTGAACCGGCATCCAACGGTGTCAATTTCTAACATCAACCAATCCACGAAGTTGAGCAACCATTCACCATTATCTTTAGTGAGTTGATATCTTCCAACAAACCTGGTTGAACTCCAATGGTCACTGCTTCTCACTAGAACTCCAGAAAATATCTATTGGATGCGCACTGCTGAGGAGTCCCACAATAGAACGAAACGGCCGTCCAGTGCTTTTAGGTTTTCCATGGTGACTCATGATTTCAATTATAAAATTACCAAAATCTCAACAAAACCCCCTTCTAACAAAGTTTTTTTGTTTATTAAACAAACCTAAAAATAATTGTTGACTGATGGATTTATTCTTATAATCGAAGTACTGAATAGTTATCTAGTCTATAACAGAATGTTTGTCGATACCTGCAGAAAGTGTAGTATAAGTTTTTATATCACTCTTCGTAACAACATTCGAACGTAGTTCGTTAGTCACTTTTTCCAAAATTATTTACTCTAAATAGTTTCAACATTATTAACAGTTCATGTGTTGAATTACATATGTTATCTCTTCTTATATGTGAAGCAATAATCAGAGCTCTGAGTCCATTTTGTTTGATGCAAGGAGTGAAGTATATCTAAAGAAGTAATTGAAATTTTTGTGTTTCTTATATTGGACACTAAAACCGAAGCTTTCTAATAGGTCTGTAAAGTTCTTAGATATTTGAAATCTCCAACTTTTAATGAGTCATTAAACGGAAATGTGACTGAGAGGTATATTAAAAAACCTTCAAAGTTGGTTTAGTACCCCACAAATGCGTCATTATTCTCAAAATTGACTAAAATAAGTGATACAATTATTGACAAGTTAGACTTCAAGTTGGTTTTCAACATACAGTATTAAGAAATGCGAAATATTTAAACTTAAGAGGTGTTAGTGAACTACTTTGACTTACTGTAGCGCTCCCCAGTGACACACACTAAGGAATCCATAAGGAATCAAACTAGCAGACATCGTATGGCTAAGGCTTCAATAAACCTTAGTATAGGCCTTTTTACACGTTTGTCCAACACCACAAAAGCCGAATTAAGATCAATATGATGAATTATTTCAACTGTGTTTGGTAAAAGAGGATGATGGATGTTTATCCTCTACTCTTATTGGGTCATCTGATTTTACTTGTTTCTGCAACCATTTAGGTAAATGTTCACACACCCTAATTTTCAGATCACGATCACTCCTCTTAATGTATGTGTGACCACATACATTTAAATTGATAAACACAACGGGATGTGACGCAATCGTTTTCATGTATTTTTCAGTGAAGCATGAACCTTATTCATTTCTTGATAATGACCTTTGTTGTGTAATAAGTTTTGTTAATGACTGATTTAAGTCTTTGTTTCAATAAAAGGCTGTTTGAATCACCTCTAAATGATAAAGTGATATAGACAGGATTTTTTTCTGTCATGGATATTGTAAATCTCACTATTCCATCTATTTATGAATTTAAAGGGGATAACCAGTTTCTGTTAATGTTTTGTTTAGTAATCGGACATCATCATCAAAAGTGTTCTTTGTGTAAATATGATCAAGCCTGTTAATAAGCCACCTCATCACATAGTTCTGATAATCTTCGTCTTCTTATTACACCATCAAAATCCATCAAACAAAAACAACACTGTCAATATTTATATAATAAGAATTTACAATATTATATACATACATACACGATATATTACCAAGTAATTTGAATATGAGTTGGCTCCTAACACATTTAAATGGTGATTTCATTAAACCTAAATAATATGTAACTCTGCCTGTAGCTCTTCTAGAGTTACTGCCGGTCCCAAGCCCGGGTAAAGGAGAAGAGTTGAGGATGGGGTTAACGACCCCATCCCGTAGATAAACTAACTCGCTAAAAAAACGCTAACCAGAAAAAATAATTAAAACCATTTAAACTCGGCTCTGCGAGTTGGAGGAATAATTATGACGCCTCATGATGAAAGCCGAAATTTTTCGGAAGTCACGAGACCGATGCACCTTCTAACAACCAGAGCAACACTCTTTATAGGTACATGAAACGTCTGGACAGTGTGGGAGATATGGAAGACCAGTCAAATAGAAATGGAAATGAGGAGATACAACTTGGCAGTACTCGGAATCAGCGAAACCCATTGGACACAAGCTAGACAACAAAGTCTAGGTACGGGAGAGATGTTGCTGTACTCTGGTCACGAAGGAGAAAATGCTCCTCACACAATTACAATTACTCTCTGTTTATATCCCTGTTCTCTTCATTTTGATCTTCTCAATCTTATACTGCATTCCACTTCTTGTCAGTGTTATATACTACTTACATTTGTCAACGTAAGTAGCATACACTACATTATAATTAAATCAGTAGTGTTATTTGCACAAGGTGAGATACTATGAATATATATATATTCAACTAATACACTTACTTGACCGATAGGTGAATTACCACTTTCAAATGAAGTTGAATATTTTATAAATTGTGGAATAATAAAAGGGATAGATATTCCCATTATAATAGCGGGAACTAGCTGGAGAAAAAAAGCCATGAAATAATGATTTAGTTTAATGCTACTACTACTACTACTAATAATAATAATAATGTTAATGATAATAGCTTTACTGAATATTATCAATTCTGTTACAGTAAGAGACATTCAGCATGAATGATACATGATGATAACAAATTTCCCTTATTGTAATCATCGAAAAAATATTGTCTACACATATTTTTTCTATAGGTATTATCTACCACCCATCTTAAATCACGAAAGTTCCCAATGGGATAACGTATCAAGACGTATGACAATATATCAAGGGTTACTTACGCCTGTTACCCCTCCTGTACCACCAGCATTCTCCACCCAACCCTGTCCTGAGTAATCCTTTCCAGTTCTTTCCAGTAAGCATTCATCCTTTTCATATATGCTTCTATTTCCCGATGTGATGGGTTCTTTGGCCTTCCATTGTTCCGCTTCCCTTCACCATTCCAAGCTAGGGCTTGCCTCGTGATGTAGTTTATTGATTTCTTCAATGTATGTCCTATCCACTTTCAACGTTTTTTCCTAACTTCCTCTTCATCTGGAAGCTGATAGCCTATAGCTCTTCTAGAGTTACTGTCGGTTTCAAGCCCGGGTAATGGAGGATTGTTGGGTATGGGGTTAGCGACCTCATCCCGTAGAAAGCTAACTCGCTAAAAATATATCAAGGATGCTTTTGATATAATATACTCAGCAGCATATGTATATGCATGAGGTAAACATTTAATTAAGTCTGACTAACCGACCTATCTTCTGCTTATATTCAGTAGTAACTGACTAAGTTGAGTCAAAACATAAAATAATTTCAATAAATTAGAACAAAATCATTCAATCAAGTTTTATTAACTGAAAAACTGATGGAAGTGTTCCTAATAAGTAATGTATATGTTCATTGTCCAGAAAACTAACTTGTATCCATGTATTTTTAGGTGATAAACGCCCTGACCAAACACCTGATAGTAAATCTTGACAACATGGATTTGCCATAAATCGTATGCATTTTCCACGTGCAGCCAAACGTATCACCGAAGTATTACCATAGAATTCTAATTTTCTATATAAAAGAATCAAAGTACGTGCACGATCTTCTTGATAACACTCTTCAAGCACTTGATCAGCTTTGTCTTCAAAAGATCTAAATAAAGAGTGCAAAAAGGTAAAGAAATAAAACCATGCTATAAGTATGGAGTTGTGGAGATTGTTAAACTTTTGATTGAGATCATGAATCGATCAATGTTAGACTACCATTAAAATCCTGGAAGCACTAGACAGCCGTTTTGTCCTAGTATAAAACTCCTCAGAATGCACATCCACGATCCCGCGTGCGGTATTCAAACCCAAGACCTTCGGTCTCGCGGGCGAACGCTTAACATCTAGACCTGTACAAATATAGTGTAGTCTTACCAGGAAATATGGTTTATTCTGTGATTCAAAAGATTCTCAAACATTTACCACAAGAAAACGTTATAAGCTTAGACTAGAAAAAATATAATAAACACAACAGGGATATCAAAACAATATCATAATTTATAGACGAACTTTACTGAATGAACAGTTAGATAAGCATTCATTCATAGGTATTGCAAAATTGTTTGTTTAATTCCCTTACCGAGCATTCTCTTCATACTCTTCTTTATTTGCAACATCATCTGACTTTTGTCCTAATTCAGCAATTATAATCGATAAAACCAATGCAGCTGCAATCGGCTCCTACAAAGGATAGAAACAGGTAATGATATATATGTGACCATGGAATTTAAATTAATAGGTTTATATTTGAAATTTAAGATTTGTTTAAATACTAGGTCAGTCAGTTTATTGAATAATTTATATTTTCTATATTTTACAGTATGTATACATGAATTTTAGCATGTTATTCACTGTCTAGTTATTCTACTGTTCTTTGACAATACTCCTTGAATTCTTTTCATCATATTTAATAGACTGTCTTCACTTGAATGGGGAAATTATGGTTGAGAGTGTAATATCTTTCATGTTATTCACTTTGTGATCGCATTTCTACAGCATGCAAACGGTTATAAACGTTCAATCAAAATACCAAACAATCATGATTCATTTAACATTGTTTGTTTAAATCTTCTTATTGATGTTTATGATTGCAATTGATCAATCTTATATTGACATATCCTGTACGGATTGTCTCGATATTATCTTAAGTCACATACATTATAAGCAGAGATGGATGGTGTCTAGTAGTGGAATTCAGGATGTAGGTGCATCCAGCTGACGAGTCTCAAATGGGGCGAGACGCGCATCATGGATTTCAATCGTAACCATCGTCGTGATTGAAGGTTCATAACCCGTTTGATTGATATTTCTGACTTATTGAAACAAGTTAAAAGATATCATTATTAATAATGGGTTGATCTGTCTCACTGTTGATATGTAGCACAAAATTATCCTCTGCTTTTGTTAGAATACATGTGTCCTATTCAGACTGACTCGATATAGTCACTCTGTTACAACGTATTTAGAGTAATTGAATTGTGGCTATCAGTGGAATTCAAAATCCACGTTTTGTCTTATTTGGAACTCTTTATCTGAGTGTACTTTCATCTTGGTATTGAAATCAAATCTTATCATGAACATCAAAACTGGGATGGAAATACATTTGGCTGAAATAAAACAAAATGCTCATTCTGGATTTATATCCTAGTTGCAGTCAATCTTTTTAGTGAATGACAAAAAGTAAATTAAAATTTAACACCATCGATATCAAAACGATGTAGACAGTTAAAGTGTAAAAACATGCGATTGAATAGTAAGAACAGAAAGGAATTCTTGTTGACATCGACCATGTGATTCTCTGAATTGCATGAGCTGAACAAAAACCAGGTCCATTTTACTATATTTTATAGACTAAGTGTAGTATTTCTAACAAATGACTATTTTGAAATTAATTTAGCGAATTATCTAGTTTTGAGTACATGATCTTCATGGGCTTGTTCGATTGTAGCTACTAAAGTATGTTTTGGACAGATCTGTGGATTTTTGGTACTCACAACAATTACTTAATATATTAAGTCTAACTGAGAATCAAAGAAGATAATAACTGAGACACGAAATATTTTGTCATTTACTTTCTCTCCATTTACTTCTCAACAACATTTTATGTTGATGATCGGCCTTTATTGGAGACTTTAGTGTTTAAGCGGAAATCTCGATATTACTATCAGTTATAATTTATATAAGTTTTGGATGACGGCAATTAGTAGCGTTCAGGTTTCTTTATTTGTTCCATGAAGAACTAATTAGCTAATTATGTCTTCATTACAGAGACTGGTCAAGTATGGTTCTGTAGATAAACAGCAAGAAAATACAAATCCTTAAAATTACGAGTAAATACCTTAGCCATTAAATAAATTGTTTATTTATCATAAATCATTTGAAGCTCTTGGTACTGGGTTCGAAATTGAACATGAGGATCATCAATCGGATGAAGACATGTTTGGTTGTTAATGTTGTTGTAAATATGTAATTTCAAAATGATCTATGAAATAAAAATTGTATACCGAGATCCAAAATTTATTAAAAAATATTAAAAAAAAATGAAAATGTAGCATTTTTCTTTTTTCTCACCTTCTCTTGATTCCAGAATATTTCAGCCATTTCAAATCTTCCGAGTAATATACACATCATCATTAATTCTCTAGCTGGTCTATCAAATTTTACTGTACTAGTATGTCTAAAATCTAAATGTGAAATTAATTTAAGTGAAAAGTTCATCATCATCATCATGTTCAAGAAAGACAAAAGAAGATGTGAATAAATACTTATCCAATAGAGTTGAATAACTACGAAGTGAATATTGTATGGTGGAATTGAATTGTGGTTAATAATTTCATTTTAATTAACTGGAATTATTCATATTATTATTTATCTAAACATATAAATATTGGTACAAAGGAGCACCAGATATATATGCGCCACACAAATTTCGTTTGATTTGTGTGAGGGCTGTGATACTGCTCGGGTACCCAAACCGGAGCAGGTGATTTTCTTAGGGGACCACACCTGGAGCCTTTGACTTAAAGCATAATTAAAATTACTATATATGATCTATTTAATGTAGACAGAACATATCGCTCTTAGACCTAATCAACAAACTAATAGAACTTGTTTATCATTCTAATTATTTCATATAAGTACATGATGATATTGACTAATAAAAATGACATTGTTGAAAAGAAAAATATTATGAGTATCAAATACAGATGGATAGTGGCTAGCATTGGAATCCAGGATCCGTGTTTCATCTAATTTGGGAATCGTCAGCTGGATGTACCTGAACCTCAGAGTTGATGTTCACTCTAGGACTCAAATCCAGTACCGTTCGCTTCAAACGCCATCGCGTTATCCAATTAGCTAATGAGTCGCTTCTCGGCTCTCCGAGCTAAGATCATGTATATTATTAAATATTTAGTTACATTTAAATTATGATAAATATTTAAGTATAAATTTTTTCATTGTCATGGGTAAATGCTATCAAGTTTAGTACATAATATTAACTGATAAACATACATTTTGGATATCGTTTTGAGCAACATATAGCAATTGCCTCTACATCTTTCTAAGATTTTGTTTATAATGAAATATTCAGTTTATTGTACAGCCTGGACACATTTGTATATATTGTATGTATAGTATTCTCTTAATAAACTTGATAATACCTACGGTGAGACAGTATGCGATGTATGTTACTTATGTTGATAGATATAAGTAGTATATAACACCAATCTGAAGTAGAGTGATTGGCAGCAGGAGATTGAGAAGATAGATTGGGAAGAATAGGAATGTAAATCCAGATTAATTGTAATAACAACAGCAATGAAGGAATGATGAAGTTTGTAAGAGACAACTAATTTAAGATGTGCAAATGAAGTATATAATGAATAGTTTTCTTATCTTAGTAAGATAATGTAATTTTGTACTAAATAATAAATCAGTTTTTCCCACCAAATCTTTTTTCACATGTGATTTATTGATACAACTAAACACATCGATGGGAAGATCCAAACAAACAATACTAAGTGATTTCAAACTTCACCCCGTCGCACAAGCAAGTGGCTATCAGGACTCAGTGGCCGAGTGGATAACACGATGGCGTTTGAAGCGATGGTACTGGGTTCGAGTCCCAGAGTGAACATCAACTCTGAGATGCAGGTACATCCAGCTGACGAGTCTCAAATAGGACGAAACGCGCGTCCTGGATTCCACTGCTAGCCACTATCCATCTCTGCTTACCATGCTTGTGAATTAAGGTATATCGAGGCAATACGCACAGTATGCACATATGCCAATTAGAGACTGACCAGTTGCAGACCTAAACACATCGATGGGAAGATGCAAACAAACAATACTAAGTGAATTCAGATATTGTTATGGTTTACATTACGAACTAAATCTAGCTCGAAGATCAATGTAAAAACAGAAATTAGTTGAGGGTTATTTCGTCTTGGTGTAAGAATCCTTTATGTGCGTTAGTCTCCATAACAGATATTGATTTATTATTGGGCGTTTCAATGGATTTCATAGTGTTTTTAAAAATTTAGTCTACGATCACATTCTACTGAATCAATTAATAGTAGTTTGCATTTTTGACATTAATATTCCAAAGTTCACAACGCATTTCAGTACACGAACTATTAAATGTTTATTCCATTAACAAAGTTTATGAATAAAAACTTACTAGCAAGTTTGGATGGCTTCAACTCTTCAAGTCCTGTAAAGGTTTCAATGAAATCAATGTTTATAAAGTTAGTCACGACTGCTAATGTTTAAACAATAAAAAAAATGATTCTGAAAATTTGAAATTTGTAAAATGCTTCTGTTATGTTGGTGAATTTTCATTTTCTAGAAGACAAAATAGCGGCAGTACATGATATTTTATAAGCAAACGTTTATTAGTAAGAATGTATGAGTGCTCTGTTAAAGAACACTGATCACTATTAATAAATAAGATGAAAATTGTTTCAAATATATTCGAGTCAAACAAGATGTAGCTACTGAAGTCTCCATCATACACTGATGGAACATTTTTAAACAGAGAATTGTTTAAGTGTATTTTTAAGGTTAACCTTTTTCTTTAAAGACAATTAAATAGAAAAAATACCTAAGCGAATTCATTGTTGTTTTCTGGAACATTGCGGATGGGTAAATGACTAAAACTGAATTCATTAAAATTTCCCATAAAACGAACAGGATTTCATCATTTTCTATCATATACAGAGTCCCAATCAAGTTCTCAAGATTAATACAACATTTTTCCAAGCATAGAAGAAACCAAAGTATCCCAAATTTCCTGATTAGACTTCTGAGCACAAAAACCATAGATCCACTTTTTCTTCCATTCCTTACTCATCCCCTACCATTGGTTCATAAAAATCATCATTCACCATTTTCACTCCTCTATTTACATTCAAATGTTATCTTTCTGTCCACTTTCATCTTAATTCACATATAATGATTATTAGCTTCGATATATATGGCGCTTTGTTTTATCGAGGTACAAGTATTTATAAATAATTGTCTACACAAAATACTCAACATTCACTAGCCGGATATCATCAGCAACAGCATTCTTTGGGAGAGGACAATTAGGAAAAGGTGTTGAAAGTGGATAGGACATACATTACAGAAATCATCAACTTGCATCACGAGGCAAGCCCTAGCCTGGAATACGGAAGGGACGCAGAAAAAAAAGGAAGGCCAAAGAAAACATTACGTCGGGAAATAGAAGCAGATATGAAGAGGATGAATGTTGACTAGAAAGAACTGGAAAGGATTTTCCAGGACAGGGTTGGATGGAGGATTCTGGTGAGTGACCTATGCTCCTCCAGGAGGGGTAACAGGCGTAAGTAACTAAGTAAGCTTCGATATAAACTTGAGTTCACTGGAAACGCCTTCATTGGTAAACTGATTTTTGTAAAATAAAAGTAATTATTGTATTTCAAAAACAACAGAGAGACCTTAATAAATTGGAGTAAATGTGAAAAAACGGCTAAAATTTAGCACAGCTAAGGTTCAATGTTAAATCATCCATACATATTGTAAGACAAATGCGTTTTATTTGAACTGATACAGTCTCCATTGGAATTCTGACTTACAGGCAATAATTCTTAGTTTATCTAGAGGTATTGTTCTGTATTATCTACTTTCATTCCTTGGTTCGGTGAAATATAGGGTTCTGTATTAGCAATTATATTTGTTGTCTGTACATGTATTTAAAGTTCAAATCTATTCCTATAATCGTCTTGATCGCCTCAAAAGTGTTAGTTATGCAAGAGTAATAAAAGGAATTGTAGAGGGAAATTAATTATGAATTCAGAGTTCTTGAGCGCTGTTAGAGGTATGAGGGCAGTTATCATTTCCCGGTTGCCCATACCGTGGAAGAGTTCTTCTAGAGGTACCTGAAAAGGGAATTTGGTTAGAGTCAGTCTTAGTGACCTGAGAAAGCGACCACATTGCCCAAACGACAACTGCCTGAGACCAGTCACACACGACGTTTTTGTGGGTAATTTTTGTGTTAGCTCAGTACTTGTTGAGGCCTTACTGCTGGAGACGGAGATCCATAGGGTATGGTGAGTTGTGCATTTTTAGGGCCGATCTTTTCTAACCCCACCCTTCCTTTGAGGGAAGCCAGCATCGCTATTATACTGCTTGTTTGAGGGAAACACTTTACTAGCGTCATATGTCTGTACAGTCAATAGTACGACTCCTCCCTCGAACATTTGGTTTGTTGCTTTTAGTCTTACCATTCTTCAACCGACCTACCTGACATGGTAAGAACTTGAGGAATGATTGGTTCATCAAGATAGGCAAGCCGGACCACCACGTCAAGGTAGAAGCAACGGTCGGGGTGTAAGTTGTATAAAGACTGTCTATTAAACCTTCACTGTTCAAGAATGTCGAGCACATTATTTGGAGGAAACAGTCTGTTAGTTTATATAAACACTAAACTAAAACTGTTCAAGGAAATTCGTCAAAATATTATTATAATTTTCTTAACTTACGTTCAGCCTTAGCTTGACCAGTTAAACGTTCCATAATTGTGAATTTTTCTTGAGCTATTCTATGTCTTCGCTTGCGTTCTTTTTCACGTTTACGTTCTATTGTTTGTCGTTCAATCTCTCTTAAACGTAGACGTGCTTTCTCGGGATCAGTTAATGGATGTAAAATGGAATGTGCAACACGTTGAACAGGAAATTTATTATTTTTATTAGATGATATTTGTTTACTAAGAGTTGTTGTCTGATATATACTACTGATTGATTGATCATGCGATCCAGTTATATTCTGAGGCTGTTGTTGATATTGAAGATGATCGCTAGCTTGATCATCAATAATAGTCGCATCAGTGACAACAGATACTTCTGTTTTGCTCGACTGAATTGAAGAATGAGATTGAACTATGATGTTGACTGCAGCTACAGTGTAATATTGAATAAAATAAGTGAAACTATAGTAGTTCATACGACACATACTTTACCTCTTTCAGAAGCTATCTGAAAGCTATCGACGAGCTAGTAAATTTAGATTTTCCGATCTTTGTCAACAATATCTTCTCTATGACGAATTTTTATGCAGACAACAGTCATATAAGACTGATGAGCGAGCATTTTTCCCAAGGATAACTTACGAATTTCATGTTTAATAAGAACATAACATTAGTTACTTCCAATAACTGATAAATTTGTATGATTCATGATCTTATTTACTGAGCTGAAATTTATTAATTTCTATCAATTTATTGAATTCTAAAGTCGTCTGTTATGCGCCCATTCCGACGCTTTCCGTCGAACCGATTTTCAAAAGATGAAGGAGATATAACAAAATCAAAGAGCAAAGATCAATCAATGTGCAAATCAATCTGTATGATATCGCTAATAAGCATTCACACAGTACGTTATTGATTAACTAACGTTAAATCAAGAACAAACAAGACAAGCCAAACACTGAGATTCATGAACAGAAAAATAGATGGGTAGAATACTTCGAATAACTGCTGAATAGACCAGCCCCATTTGTTATATACTGGCGAAGACATAATTACGGGTAACTCCCAGGTCCTATTATTGGATTATTATTCTATGTATATTCCTATTGTATAACTATTCAGTAACTAGATTATCTATATTTATATTCACCTTATTATAAGCCTCATTTTGACCTATTGATTATTAGTATATGATTTACTGTTCCTATGTTATACTCAGTTTATTGATTATTGTCTCCCACGCTTACAGCCACATTTGGCTTGATTTCGTACAAATATTATTTTCTATTTAATGGTGTGATGCCGTCTGTCTGTCTGGTATATAAACCGAGTATGTTTGAAATAAATGATTCACATAGCAGAAGCTGTGATTGGTGTTCTGAACTGAATTGGAAGGGCTAGGCGAGAAAGGGACCAATAAGCACGCTAGACTGCTCATAAGAGTTGAACGTCATTGATTGTCACCGTGTTAAGGTCGGAGAAGTCGTATTCTATTGGTGGATAATTCACGCGAGTTACGTCCTTGTTTAGTTTGTAAGGTCATAACAAATTAGCGACAACCTTGAGCAAGACATAACAATTGGCGACATCTAGGTCAAAACATAACACCACTGAATCCACCGAACATCGAAGCAGCACACACAAACCTTCCTAAATATGTCACTCCACCAACGATGGAAGAAATCAGATTGGCCATCAGAAAAATCAAGAATGGGAAAGCTGCAGGACCTGAAAATAAACCAGCTGAAGCACTGAAGTCAGACATTGAAGTATCTGCAAGCATGCTTCACCTTCTATTCAGGAAGATTTAGGAGGAGGAACAAGTGCCAACGGGCTGGATAGAAGGATACTTCATCAAGATATCAAAGAAAGGAGGTCTCAGAAGTGTAAAAACTACAGAGACATCACAGTACTATCGGTAACAGAAAAGGTTTTCAACAAAGTGTTGTTGAATCGAATGAAAGATTCGATAGTCGCGTAAATTCGAAACTAGCAGGATGACTTTCATACAGATCGGTCGTGTACTGGTTGGATCATGAATATATATTAAGTTCTTTGGGTATGAAAAAGCATTCGACACTGTAGATAGGACATTGTGAAACTTTATCGGGACTATAGTGTACCTGAGAAGATTGTCACCATTATACGGAGTACACTACAACGTCACAGGTCAAGGGTAGCTAATAAATTGTAATTCAAGAAATAACTTTTCTTCGATAGAAAACTTTTGGTTAGTTGAATTTTGACTGATCAATGCAAACTCAGTAATTTCGGAAGTTTCCTTTGGAAGTTATTAAATTATATCCGATAACTTTCTATTTTAATTAAAATATACTCCCCATGAATTTAGTTTACGATGTTGTTGATTTTGAATGAGTACACTAATTCTTTTAGTCTCCATAGTCATATTCTAGGAGGCAACTACATTATCATCAAAGATAATACATACAGTACTATAATAAACAATGATTAGCTATAATCTCAAAGTCATGTTCTATATTACCAACAATTTGTCTTAGTATACAGAATAATCCTTTAATTAAAGATCGAATCATCATCAACATCCTCTTACCATTTTCTTGATATGATGAAATCAAGCCATTTGAATTAGCCGAAAGTTTCTTTTCATTTGTAATAGAAATTGATCTATCTGGAAAACTATCTTCTTTAGCTTTTGGTACGAAATTATGTGTATCATTAGAATGTTGTGATGTAGTGATAAGACGTTTTTTACCCATTATTGTACCATTCATTACACCATTTTGATCATTTTCATAATTATCAGAATATGAATAATAATCATTTTGATAATAATAATTCCTACTGTTATTCGTGCCAACTATTGGCTTGACAATATATCTTCGTCTATTAATTGATGATGATGATGATACTTGGACGTTATTATTCACTGCTGATTTTTTTGATCTACTAGTTCTATCATCACTAAAATCTCTTCTTGTATCAGCGCTAACTGATCTACCAGACTTTGTTTGATGTCGTGATGATTTGATTAATTTTGTTTCGGATGAATTATTCGATGATGTATAACTTGTAATATCTTCTGTATCTTCAGATTTTTCATTGGCACATTGCTGATTTAATTTTTGCTTTGATTTGTCATTCTTTTCGGGTTTTCTGATGTGTTTATGAGATTGAGATATTTGTTCAGACTGAACGGGGTTTCCTTCATGGTCAACAATATGATCCTCAGATTTTTCAGCATCAGATTTTTCATCGACATTGAATGATAACGGTATAGGTTCAACAGCTTTCAATGTTGATGTTGATGTGATTATTTTGCCTTTTATGTTAATTTAATGAGAAAAATACATTTTAAATAAGTTTAAATGTTTCGTAAATCAACTGAATATCCAATAATTGCCTAGGATACTTTAGATAGTTAACTTTTTTTTATATAGGTGATAGACTGCGTCTGACAATCGAATTCAGAACACTCGCTTCGTCTTACTTTGGACTTGTCAAATTGATGCTAGAATTGACATTTACTTTGGGATTTGGACCCAGCACTTTGCACTTCAGAAGTCAGAAACGTTCTTCACTCAGTTACTGAGGTTGAGTGGCACTGTAGTTAGGTTGTCGTGACTGAATAAAGACAACCCAAAAGGGTTATAAATACGCTAACTAAGAATGATCGAAATTGAGTCAACAATATCGACAACCGGATGACTCAAAAACGCTTATAAATGTTCAGGTAATAAATAATGTCTCTTTTAGTAAAAAGAATGAAAAAGTGATACCGAAGGATACCGTACTCAAATAAACCGAAAATCCATATTTCTAATTACACCGCTAAACGACAAATAGCCATTTTCTCTGAAAGTTTATACTGTTTCTTACAAAACCTTCATTTTGTAATCTTCAACTACTTAGTATTACTAACTTTCGTAAATAACAATCAAGTTTATATTTTTTTTGAGAGATCGAATGTTCGCCGACGCAACAAGAACTTTATTCATATTTGTTCATTTTCAAGATGTATTCTTTCCAAATACTGATATAATATAGGAAACCACTGAAAATTAAAAAAATATCTGACAGAATTTAAGTGTTAGCTTCTGATCTTAGTTCATCATTGAAATAAAAATTTAATATTTACAGTATCTAAGAATAAACTGTAAAAATTCAAATTCATTTTGTATTGCTTGTTTAAATTTTCCCATTGATGTTTATGATTGCAATTCATCAATCTCATATTGACATATATTCATCCTGTACGGATTACCTCGATATTACTTTAAAACACTAGCATTATAATCAGAGATGGATAATGTCTAGTAGTGGAATTCAGGATGTAGATACATCGAGCTGACGAATCCCAAATGGAACGAAACATGCATCCTGAATGTCATCACTAGCCATCATCCATCTTTAATTACAAAAATGATTTTCTTTTTATTACTTATAATCTATACAATGATATAATCTATAAATAATTGATAACCTGGTTGTTTTTCATAATCATCATATAAATTATCATTAGTTGCTTCATCATCACTTGATTCACAATAACCATGTTCTACAACTGAATGTTGAAAACGTTTTGATAAATAAAATGGATGATAAAAATCTCCTAATAAATTTTTAATAATTCTACCAATGTCTCTAAGCATAACCCAATCCATTTTATAAATTCTAGAACTTTTCCATAATTGTTGTAATAATCTTGATTTATAATCCTAAAATATAAATAGACGTTAATAAGAAATGATAATAATAAAAGTGATATGTAAGAATTTTAATAGTTGAGATCATGAATTGATCAATGTTAGACTACCATTGAAATTCTGGAAGCACTGGACGGCCGTCTCGCCCTAGTATGGGACTTCTGAGCAGAGCGCACCCACAACCCCACACGCGAGACTCGAACCCGGCCCAGTGGTCCTGAGTCTAAGTGTTCACTCACGAAATCGAATGCCCTGGGTTCAAATCCTGCGTTCATAGTCGTTGGTGAGCACTGCTTAGAATTCCCATATTAGGACAAGACGACCGTACAGTGATTCATGGTTTTCAATGGTGGTCTAACATTTATCAATTCATCATCTTAATCAAAAACAGTCCATTTTGATTGTGATAAAATCTTTACAGCATTAATAATAAACGACCTATTTGCCTTAAGGAATTCAGGAATAGCTCACAATAATAAATTTTAAGTGTACAATATTATCTTCGGTTTTATATGAATAAGATTAGAAGTATCTGATCAGAATACAAGTATCAGTATAAATCCAAATACTTTTGCTTCAACGCTTGTTTTGGATCTATTTCATTCTTCCGAAAAGAATACTGCATTTTCCATTCGTAAATCAATAAGATCTCATAAACTACTGTGAACGACTAGATATTCTACAGTTAATCCATTGTTAAGTTCACTTACATTCACTGTATTTATTTTCTTATCCAACTCATTATGTCCATTGCTATTAATTATTTGCTAATATTCAGTAGCCAGTTCTAATTCAAATAATTTCTAGACGTAAGTTGTGTAATATTCCTGAGTACTTGCATAAAACTAATATTATTCACTGTATTTGTTATCATAATTACGTTCTGTAAACCTTTGTAACAGTTATTTTAAGTTCTTATCCATTTCTTGAGTCTTTGTTAAGAAAAAAACAACTCATATTTTTGTAATTTTAGTCTCCGTCAAATTGTTAAACGTCTTTACTTGACAAGAAAGAACACAGCTACCGGCTATAATTTACGTTATCATATACTGTATATTAATCTTTGCGTTACTTCGATAGCCAGCATTTCTCTTTCCATATATATAGAACCGTTAATCATCACAGATACCTTATCATTATTGATTTGTTGGTAATACACAGATATAATTTTCCTTCTTAGTTTACATATATTTTTTATCATAAGGGGTTTTTGTGAAGATTTTAGTAATTTTAATAGTTGAAATCATTAGTCAATTCAAGCTGGACCACCATGGAAAACCTGGAAGCACTGGATAGCCATTCCATCCTATTGTGGGACTCATCAGCAGTGCGCATACCCGATCTCGCCTCGTGAGACTCGAACGCAGAACCTGTCATTCTCGCTTAATAATCAGAAAATTCTTTAGATAGTTCAATCTTTTTAACCTTGACTTCACACGTATCTTAAACATGTGATTGGACACTTCAATGAATATAATACTCACTATCATTTGAAACCTTTCAATATCATATGTATATATATATTCCTTAAGCACACAGATTAAATCTAAGCTCTTCATGAAGTTGTTCACAACTTAACTAATTGATCGAATTTCTGTGTCTAATTTTTACCGCATTCTAGGGGCGGATATTTTTGCAAACTAAACTTCTGACAGTCCTTAACTCAATGTTAGAAAGTAGAATGCATAGATAGATAGTACTGAAATAATGATAGTAGTGTAATTATTTAAAAGAAAAATATTAAACTTACAGTCTTTTTTAAACATTCAGTATATAATCTTTCTAATGTATGAACAGTAAGAAAATCATCTAAATTAAATCCATTTTCCAAAATTAATCGAACAAAATCCGTTTGTTCATTTAAAATAACATTGAACATGAATTCATTTAAATCACCTTTCTTTTAAAATGAAAATTTAAAAATAGAACATTATAATATTCATTATAGAAGGGGTTTTGTAGAGATTTAGTATTTATAATAGTTGAAAGCGTGAGTCAATTGAAGCTAGACCACCATGGAAAACCTGGAAACACTGGACGGCCGTTTCGTGACCAGTGGAGTTCAAAACCACGTCTGTTGTGAGATAGGAACTCATTGAAGACAATTGGTGAATGGTTGCTCAATTTCGTGGATCAGCTAGACATTAACACCGTTGGATGCCAGCTCAGTGGTTTATCGGTTAAGGGCTACGTCTCGAGACTGGTAGGTTCTAGGTTCGAATCTCGCGAGAGCGAGTTCGTGGATGCGCGCTGCTGAGGAGTCCCATAATAGAGCGAAACGGCCGTCCAGTGTTTCCAGGTTTTCCATGGTGGTCTAGCTTCAATTGACTCACGCTTTCAACTATTATAATATTTGTAAAATATTACTATTATACGTTTATGGACGAACCAATCAGATATAAGGTAATAGATCTTGGATTTTGGCGCGAAAACCACTCATACATTTGGTTAAATAGTGTATTGGAATTTTAACTGATGTCAGTTCATGATGAAAACCTCGAATCTAGTTCCTTATCTTAACCATCAACTTTAAATCATAATTCTCATTTCTCACACTGGTTTATAATCATCATTTAGTTCTAGTTGTTAAGTGGACACTCTAAAGGTCACTAAGGTGTCACTCAAAAGTCGTCCATAAATGTTAGTCTCACCAGCGTATCTCAAGTAAATGCATGCGCAGATATTGGAACTCAACAATATAATCTCAAGACATCTTTTAGTCTCATATCCAGAACTAGTATCCAACAGTTTAAGTCGTAGGTGTAAAATGCTTAAAAGTACAAACATCTAGGATTAAATAACTAACTAGCGTTTCTCAGTTTTGAATGTCTATTCAATTGAAATCTCTTTGTGACGGAGACTATCTTGAATTTGGAAACCGCCATTTAGTATAGACTTGAAACTTGTAGAATGATGTAGTAATTCGTCATAAGATTTCGATTTCTAAAAGTCATCGACATTATATTTCATAGTATCTTGGATCAACAGCATTCGTAACAATAACAGTACTAATGTTGTATGTGTTACTGATGTCAACAGATATAAGTAGTATGTAACACCAGTCGGAAGTGAAAGGTCTGAAGACAGAATGTTAAAAAGATCGAAGAAAAGGGAATGAGAACAGAAAATTATTGGTGTGCAAAAGAAGGAACAATAAAGTCTGAGACAATTGACTGGTTTTTCGTAAATCAAGCATTTACTCTATGGTCCTCAGATTTTACTTAGATACTCTGTAATTTTGTATTCAAATACATTTGATTGTGCCCAACTTTTTTCTCGTTTACTATAGTACTACTAATAATTATATTGATGAGAAATCTATCCAGTTTTGTTTTGCTTCCAACTATTCGCCAGTGAATATCTTTAGTTTTAAGATGAAGAAATCAATGGATCCATTCAGAAGATCAAGTTGGCTTTAACTTCATAATCTTAAGTTTGTTAGCGATTCCATCATTTAGAGTTAATTGAAACTGAGTATAATTTATGTTTAAAGCCAAGTATCGAATCAAAATATTTCAGGTAACTAGAATTTAGTTTTTATTCGATTAATGTAAAATAAGACTAAAATTATTTATTTTCTCAGTGTTAATTGAGAATGAAAATTTCACCATTTAACCGACTTTATATGAGTAAAATTTAAATCAATATTTAACGGATTAGAATTTTAAATTCAGCACTAGATTATTAACCTTACAAAATAACTTTCAACATAACAAAAGCATCAGTTAATATATTTGGTGTTTAACTAGCAAATGGAATCCAAAAATTCATTTTTTTGTCCTTCTTTAGACTCGTCACCTGCATTTACCCGTATCCTAATGCTTTTGTTTCAAAGAGTGCTCGGACCTAATACATGTCGTTTCAAACGCAAGCGAGATAACCACTGTGATTCTGATTTCAGATTACCACTAATTTATTCAACGGATATGAAGGTAAGGTGGTGGTTGGACGTAGTCGATAGAAAACCCTGTTTGATTTACGTTTCGTGCTATTCAGCACTTGTCAGAAAGGTGTGTCTGTAGTCTGATGAATGTCAAACAGCACGAAACCTAGGTCAAGCAGGGTTTCTTGTCGACTTTTTTCAGCCACCACCTGACATCCTAAAAATGTGCACGGAATATCGAATCACCTAGACTAATGACCACGTTGCAACTTGATCGACAGAGTTCAATCTGCACTAAGAACCTGACATGCCTGGCATTGTTCACTAACCATCAATGAATCAATTATGTAATGATATAAAGGTATTAGAAACAGTTTGAATTTTTCGGTTGCTGATTTTCATGCCCACAAGTTAACAGTTTGCTATCCACATCTCGAATATACTAAAAACTTGTCACTATGTAGTAATATCTAAGCTATCCACTCAGGATCTATGTATGACATCAAAAATATGATCAATATCATGAAACCGCTAAAATTTACATCTACTTAGAAATTTCTTCAATTGGTTATTATCGTACCAGCTGATATCGTAGGTTATTTTCATATTTGATGATATCGTTTATATGCTTAACTTTTACAGACTGTATGAATCCTTTATATCATTAAGAAAACTTATGAAACACTTCTGTCTTTCTTGAGAACAACCAAATCTCATTGAAATCAGTACAAATAAAAAACCTCGGTAAATATCATGTATAGTCAATAAGAATATTAAATATTCAGTATTATTCTTTGAACGAATGGTCAAATGTTCAAACATTGTAGACCAAATGGATAAATTACTTTTCAAAAGCTTAGGTAGTAGTAGTGCAATGAATTGGAACACAGTTTGGAAAACAGAAAGCACTTTTAAAAAAAAATATAGAAACTCTTAGTAAAATCTGAGATCCATATAGTAAATACATCATTTACAAAATGTCTATCAATTATTTCAAACTTAATTGTCCCTTCTCTTCCACATCAATCATTCTATGTTCTCATTCTCGTTCTCTTAGATCTTCACAACTTTCTGCAGCAAGACATTTCACTTTCAATGAATGTTACATACTACTTATATCTATCAACATCAGTAACATACACTACAATAGAAATATTTAAAACAGTGAACTTTTGAGATAATTCTTCCTGATTTTTAGACCGTTCCTGCAGTAAATACCAATTTGTATAAGGTGATCAATAAAAAACCCTGTTGAAAATGACTCAAAATTTACACTAAATATATTTAAAGGATTAATCAATAGTTTACATGGTTAATAATTTATAGAGTTTTATAAAAGTTTCCAAAAAAAAATCAATTAAAATTTTCAATCATTCTAACAATTTTATCCATAAAAACAAGACAAATCTACTTAAAAATTTGATATTTACAAGTTATCCAGGTTATAAATTTGAAATGGTATCAAAATGGAAACAGATTACTAATGTTGATTGTGTTATTTATTCAGATTGATCTTCATTTATATATTGTCAAAGCTAGAAACAATTTTCATACAATCAAATTGCTTAGAGTTGGTAAACGTATTCTCTGTAGTAGGGATATATTTTAACGATGATACAAACAAGTTAATGAATATTATTTATCAGAAGAGAGTTTGTGGAGATTTTAGTAATTTTATAATAGAAATCATGAGTCAATTGAAGCTAGACCACCATGGAAAACCTGGAAGCACTAAACGGCCGTTTCGTCGTAGTATGGGACTCATAAGTAGTGCGCATCCAAGATCCCGCCTCCCATAACTGGCTTTAAGAGATATTTTCTGGAGTTCTAGTGAGAAGCCGTGACCAGAGGAGTTCAACCATATCTGTTGTGAGATATCAACTCACTGAAGACAATGGTAGACGGTTGTTCAATTTCTTGGATTGATTGAAGTTATACATTAACACCATTGGATGCCGGCTCAGTGGTCTAGTTGTTAAGCGCTCGCGCATGAGACTGATAGGTCCTTAGTTAGAATCTCACGAGTGAGGGATCGTGGATGCACACTGCTAAGGAGTCCCATAATAGAGCGAAACGGCCGTCCAGTGTTTTCAGGTTTTCCATGGTGGTCTAGCTTCAATTGACTCATGATTTTAACTAAAGAATATTATTTATCTGATCTGGTTATGTGAATTTAATTTATTTTTGAATAACAATGAAGAGAATTTAGCGGAGAAAATTATCTTTTCGTTGAAATTATTTACTTAAGCTGTACATTCGCATTTATAGTTATATGGGAAATGTATATACGTCGATAGAAGAATCGAAAACACTCCATCATAAATTATTTTGTAATCTTAGATCTCAAGCAGTTAATATTTTAGTGAAGTAGAACGCAGGTGAGAACAACTGGTTATGTATCTAGCTCAAATAACAAAGTCGGTTGATAAAATAGAAAAACCATACTCTGATACTTAATTTGCAAAATGTTCATTAATTGTCTCACACTAAATCTGCCATTGTTTTAAGTTCAACAAGAACCAATCAACATCGAGGTGTACAGGACAAGCTGTGAACCACATGTGGAGAAACTCAAACACTTTACTTCTACCCGGAGTTTGTGCTGATGATGTCGTTCAGAAGGACGATGAAAGCTCCAAGACCAAACCATCCAGCTCAGAGAACAAAACTCCATCGATATGTATGGTAATATTTATCAGGCACTGAATTTTCATTAAATAAACTTCTGTTCTTTTAAAAAAAGAATTAAAAAGCCAACTTACTTTCCAACGTTTACCTTCAAGAAAGATTTTTGTTCGTGCAATATCAGCTCGATTCAAGCGTATAGTTATTTCTAGTTGATCAAGGTTCAATTCATTTTTTGGTCGATCAATTCCAGCTTTTAATGATAGTTATTTTGAAATCGAAATAAAATAACAGAGGTGCAGTGTTTAGTTTACATATGATATGATATTTTAAAGAATGTCATTTCATAATGGGTTATGTTGAACTTAATGCATAAATTGTATAAACGTAAGGGTTGTTCTACAGGGTATTCAATCTTAAGATAGTTTACATTGCAAACTGTCACCAGGTTAAGAACACATGAAAACCCTTGATGGATGTTCTGCTTTTGGTCAGAACTACTTCGACGGTACACTCACAGTCCTTTACTTTGTGAGACAGTAGAGGCCCAGGTCTTTCTGAGTATAACACATCAGTAACACAGTCAGAATTCTATAGCCTTCATGTACTAACTCATTTAGCACAAGATAAAAACTAAATCACAGACTTTTTAAACCCTTGATCATAATAGTTAATGGTATGTCCATCGGTGAACAGTTTTGAGATAGATTTTTGGTATTTTAGCTCGATGGCGTAGCCGAAATAGTTTTACTCTTCCAGAAGTAAAGCAGATATCACCGATTTTATGAAATCATTTACGCAATAGAACTAGTCTACCGAAGATGATCATAAGAACCAATAGCTTCCAGTTCTAAGTTCTAAGGTGATTGTATTGAATATGCCATCTAAATTTGACGAAAATTAAGATGTTTTCCTCAAAACGTTTATTTATTGATCATCTGCAAATCCGTAAAAATACTTACCACGAACTTTGGTAATCAAAAAGGTTTATTCAGATACTTTTTAAGAGGAATAATACGTCCTTATGACTCCAATATTAAATCAGGTAAGGGTTAACTTATACATTTCAATGATGCCTTACTATTACATTCAAAAACAAAACATTGTATCATATATAAGTAGCACACAGTGTTGTTGGAATTATGAAGGGATGTTCCCCTACAACTCATTAGTATAGCGAACCAAGTTAATTTAAGATTTGATCCAAACGAAATATTAACCCAGAATCCAAACTTTTGACAAAATCTAAGCTCACATTATCAGCCTTGAAATAGAAAGCAATGTAGAACTTTGTTATTGCAAAAAAAAACAAATACATGGAGTTGATCATAATAATATTGTTGAAAGTGCATGATCTCATTAACCAAATGAGTCTACACATCGCCTAATCTAGTAATCAAGGAAAGGAAATGATTAACTTCTTAATAAACCTGTTGGATATTAAAAATTAATCTTCAAGAGCTTTATTATTTTGTGGCAGAAATAAAAATCTTCTATATATACTTTCCAATGCCATTAGTTAAAACCAAACAACTGTGTAAGCAAAGATGGATTGTGGACAGCAGTGGAATTCAGGACGTAAGTTTCGTCTTATTTGGGACTCATCAGCTAGATATACATGCATCTCAAAGTTGATGTTCACCCCATTGCACAAGCTAGTGGCTATTCGGACTCAGTAGATAAATGAATAACGCGATGGTATTTGAAGCGAACGGTACTGGGTCGGAGTCTTGAAGTGAACATCAGCTCTGGGATTCAGGTACACCCAGCCGACAAGTCTCCAATAGGAAGAAACGCGCGCCCTGGATTCCACTGCTAGTCACCATCTATCTTTGAATATTAGAATCATTTCTACTTACCACTACTTAATAATGCTGATATCATATAACCATCTAAGTCAATATCATCATATTCAAATATCGAAAATAAATGCGCATAATCATCGGCTAATTCTTTTATTCGATACACTTGTGATTCATATTCTTTAATATTAATCATTGTATTTGTGATTTGTTCAGTTCTAGTTGTTGATGGTTTACCTGAATTATCAGTTGGTAGATTGATTGTAATGTTTGTTGTTAATTTCCCGTTATTTTTTGTTGATTTATCAGATTTTTTCAATGGTCTACCACGTTTGTTACTTCGAGCATCTTCATGAACTTCTTGTATGATACTAGCTATTCTGTAAAATTATTTGAAAAAAAGAACTTTTAAGACGTATTACAGAAATCTGATTGAGTTATAAAGTTAAAACGCAGACTAAACAAGAAGAAAAAAAGTTAAACCATTCTCTCATTGACTAGGATGGTAAATAGCTATATGAGATAATTAAGACTATTGTGTATATACTAAATAGCATTACTAAGAGTTGTTAGTTAGTTATGGAATGAGTACTCAAAGGTAAAATAGAGGACTTTCATAATGATGCTATTCAATTAGTTTCTGTTGGTTTAATTGGAATCGTGAACCAATCTAAGTCAGATCATTGATAATAACCTGGAAGCACTAGATGGCCGTTTCTTTCTAGTACAAAATTCCCATACTGACAATTTCTGCTTAGATTTTAATTTTACACCTTATTTGTTAGTGCATAGTTTTGGTCTAAAATTTGTCTTTTGTAAGGCGTACTATTTACTCACATCTTTATGATGAAAGCGATTGATAATCAATAATTTTTAGTACATGACATCTAGCTGTATTTCACAGAAGTATGTAAAGCATTAATAAAGGCATAGGCTGTAGTGCCGGTTACTATGTTAAGCCCATATACCTTATTCTAGCTTCTGGATGGGCCAGTTTATTCAATCTTCTCGAGTCACGTTTTGACGTTGTTAATCATTGAACTATCAACCCTGAATGTTTTTATATGAGCGTATGTGTGTATAAATTTCTTATCCTATTCATTATGTCTGTAACCTATTTCTATCTGGCTATAAATATTGGCTATAAATATATACAAAAATCCATTCTCGTATTCGACTTATTTAATTCCGTTATTTACCAACGCGATTTAAGTCGATGAAATATACGAGGATAGCCGACATGTGTAATTTAAATGACAATAATCATACAATCTAATTGAAGTCAGATACAAGGCCACAAGGTGAACATTAATTATAGGACTATGTAGTCCTTGTAAGGTGTAAAGATCTTGAGTTCAGTCTTTGTCGGAAGTGTCACGGTATGCAAATTAATTAATTTTTTTAAGGGACTATTTAATATGTACACGTTAGATGAATCTCTACTACACATAAACATCAAACAAAGATATTTCGCACCACAGTTAGTTGTTTTTTAAATGGTCGGTTTTAGCTCTTGAGCATATTGGAACTGTACATAATAATTACTTTCATCCAACTTGACTAATTTCAATAATGTAGTGTTGATCAATTTGTCGTCTCAGTGGTGGATTTTTCTTACAGCTATTTAGATTTCTGATAATGCCACAATTCATATAATCAGTTTTACATACTTTATGTTCCCATTGTTTTCAAGCGACTTAGTTTATGTTTTCAAATTCGAATACTTCGAAATCTTGAGATTAACCGATTCGAAAGGAGGTTTGTTTTTTTTCAGCCAAAAGTTTCTTGATCCCATTTAATGAGATGAGTAGCATTCTGGGTAGTTCAACGCTGGGTTATAACATTTATTTAGTATTTCCTATCTCTCGATGATTGTTGAACGACAAAACTTGTAATGTTAATTGAAGACTTCAATAATAACATATATATTAACTAAAGTACCATATGAACGTCTTCGACCAAATTTTCATATCCGGAGATATTGAAAGTAGTATTTATAAGTTTTAAAAAGAAATTTCATGGAAAAACTCACTTATAATCAATTTCTTGATCTGTAAAAGTCTCTTCTAGTGTATTCCTAAAACTCATAAAGTCTAGAACATTCGATAAGATATCAGCTACACCACCAGTACCCTATTTAACAGAATGTAAAATATATTTAAAACCATTAATTTGATTATCTCGTATCAAATTAATAAAAGGAATTAATATGTAAAAAAGAAAAAAAAACAAAATACAGGTTTAGGTAGATTACAACTAATGAGATCATGCATAGATACGTATGAAATTGACCAAAATTAATGTAATTTAAAACTATTTTAAGAAAATATTGAACTTCATACTATTGTGGTGTGGGCTACTTATATCCACACAAGTAGTATACAATGATGGTCGGACATTGAAAGCATTTCAGTAGAAGATCGATAAGGAGAGAATGGGAACAAGATGCAGTTGGTATGAAAATGAATGAACAATAATAATCAGAGACTATGGACTGATATTTACAGAAGGAATAATCAATATTGAGACAATTGGTTGATAATTTACAAATTAACTGTTTACTGCAAGGTTGTCAGATTTTAGTGAGATAGTCTATAATTTCGTGTTCAAATACCATCGATTGTCCCCACTCGTGTTCTTGTTCACTACACTATCATCGGATTTATAAAGATTTCAAGTAAAGACTCTCTCTCTTCAACGTTTAAATAATATTCGGAAACTAACTATATTCATTTTCTAATATTATTCATACAAATAGGTTTAGTTGAAAAGTGTTTACGTTTATGAACTCCTGCATGTATAGACAAATTCATGTTTCAACTTAAAGACCCAAATTAATAATCATTACAATGCATTACCACAAGAAAAGTGACTCTTCGTTACAACGTGACAGTCACACTCATTTTATTGGTAAACGATATCGTTAACTCTGATGATTGGATAAATCGATGTAACGTATATCCATTACGAAATTAAAAACAGGATACTATTTCGTGTTTGCATCTAGTTGGAATTAGTATCTGTGCTTGTATGGGCCAGTTAATAAGAAAAATGTTCGCTTGGTTTAATTATAAATAAAAGGTGGGATAAATGGATTTTGAAGATAAAACCTAGATGATATTTGTCAGAAGATTTTACTAGATCTATTCTATCGATCAAAATGTCAAGTAGCCAATATTCTGAGTGACACAACGTCAGCTACATTGCGTTGAAATGTTGAGCGGGTAGAGTTATTTGGCAGGAAATCTTTTGTGATTCTAATATATGTCATCCTACTTCATAGTGTGAGACATTACTGATGAGCTACTTGAGATACAACTGACATGCTTTAGGACTGAAACATTTAGACTAACTGATAAATAATTGGTGAACAGTGTCATATCTTTTAAATCACTTAGTGTGGTTAAATGTTCATCAAATGGGTTGGAATATGGCCGCTAGCTTCAAAGACTTAATAAGTTGTGAACTATCTTGAGATGTTGAATGGTTGAAGGTAAGAAAATTAATAATTTCACCGTCATTTATTTACTTCTTAACTATTCTTAAAGTATACGCAAAATGATTTTCAACTAACTAAATGATCTAGTTTTATTGATTCAGTAACCTTAGCTCAAGTTGTTGCAGTATCAATATTAGATCATCTTGAACGTCTTACCATAAAAAACATTTTAATTTCAATCATTGTGAATCTGTAATTATATCAAATAAATCATGGTCATTCTGTATTGAACAGAACATGACTGAGGGACAATCGAATGTATTTTCCTACCAATTGCACTTCATTCCAGTTCTTTCCTTAACAGTCTTTGCCAAAATACATTCTATGTCTGACCATCACCATATACTACTTATATGGATATAAGTAAACCACACTACAGTTCATGTGGTGCCTAATTGATTAATATATCTGTCAAGCATGATCTCTAAACATCGGGTAACAATAATATATTCATCATTCAACTTACATTAATCTATCACCATCGTCAGAAAATATGTCTTATTACTAGTATAAAGGAAGTTGTAGAGATAGTAGAATTTTCAGCTAGTGATTGAATGGATAATCTATTCACAAAAATTAATTCTAGCGAAATCGCAATCCAGCACATTTTCCAATCAATTAACTGAATAGATGAATATTATAAGAGGATTGAAAGTTCTATTTCTATACACACAATATACAATCAAGTTAGTTCAACTGCTGACCGATAAAATAGCTTACATATATTCAACTCATTGAATTCTGATATCTATGTATGTGCGTGACTAAGATTTAGTGATATAGTGTGACCTCAATACAAAATCAATTTACTTCACGTTCGGTCATATTACAGTTTTTCCGTACTTACCGATCACCTTCACTCAAAAATGTTTTTCTTTTCTAACTTCTCTGTAATGTATTCTGTTTTGCTTATAGTCTGTACGTGGTCTAAACATCAGATTACAGATTATAAGAAACTGATCTACCCAGATCGAGCAATTTATTACAAAAATAATGAGTATGTAGGTTTTCAGATAGATCAAAGCTCCATATCAAACTTAAGTGTTTTCGATAGTTGCTTAGTTCTATTTGACTAACTTTTTAGGTTAAACACTAAAAAACTGTTGGAGTATTAGAAATATAAACAATGACAATATCAAAATAAAATTCATTCCAGTGGTCCAGTATGTGGAGTTAATTCATTTTCATCGCCAACGAAATATATTATAACTTACTCGAACAAGTACCATTGGACAACGATTCAATGTCACTGAAGCATAAATTTGATCTAAAGTAGTCGTATTCCCACCTCCAACTATTCCACATATTGGAACTCTAGCAGTTGTCTGACTAGTTGAATTAAGTTCATCCTGCGATATATTCTGTAATATATTGATTTCTTTATCAACCAATTGATTTTCATTCAACTCATTCTTTTGAAATGAATCTTTAACTCCTGCTTTTTTCTCAATTTGTGAACATGTATACAGGTGACTTTGTCGTCTGATTGTTTGACCTACAAGACCATCACCTAAGGATGGGAGTGTAGCAGATGGTCTTGGAGTAACAGTTATAATTGGAAGGAAAGATTTTTCTGTGTTTTTAAACTTTTGTTCCTTGAACAAATAATTTTAGAAAAATAAAACATAAAGTCATTCCAATGTCTAGGTGAATTGCTGTTTACAATAACTCACTTTTAACTATAAGGTAGTGGATTCGAACCCTGTTACATACGATTTTGATTAGGCAGCCAAATAATTACACAAATCTTAATATGAGAAATATTATCAGTACTTGGTAAATAGATGAATTATAATAAGTGCGTTTTTGGTGAAATTGTAGGGAAAATTTAACCATGCTACAGTTCGATCAACACTCTTCGCATATAGATGATTAAAGTTAATATATTCTAAATTAAAATATATAGGCTGATATTATAACTAAGATAATGAGTTCTGGTAACTTTTAATTATTGGAAATTATTTCAAGAATATCTGTTCCAAAAAATATTACAATATTGACACTCTATACTGAAATCTTTCTCGTAATTGACCTCTTTTACCATCGATTACTTATCATCACCTTTCATGTTAAAGCTCTATCTCTCCATATATATATATATATATATATATATATATATATATATATATATATATATATATATATATATACCGTTTATTCTTAGTCGATTGTGATATATAATTACACTTCTAACAAAAGCAATCAAATTTAGTGTTTACAACTGATTAATAAGCCATAAAAGTAGCTTCATTTCATAATTCAACTGCTTTCACAATCTGAGATAAAATGACAGAATCAAAGTGCTCATTTGAAATCAATTATAATGGAGTATGATTTAGTGTGCTGATAATTTTTAAAGTTTTATCACAGACATTTCAGTAAACCAATGATTGAACTGAGCATAAGCCTGGTACAACCAAGTCATTAGATTCAGAGTCCAGAGTGCTGACTGCTACATCACGAGTCCACTGAACACCGATTACCACGACGCACAATGCTGACTAGTGTTGGAGATGGTTGGAAGAAAGTTAGGAGTGTCCAAATCAAAACATGACACCAGTCCATAAAGTCACTAACTTCTGATGTGATCCATGTTGGTAGATGCAGATTACTTGGTTGGGGTCAGCGCGACTATCGTAACCACTGGTTGGAGACTCTGGGTGACGAATCAGAATCAATCACAATGCCGTAGGTGTATACACTCTTTATCTTCCCTTAAACCGTGAGATTAAAATTGCTTTATAGCTTTCTGTTTACGAACTAATTCTTTTTTTCCTGTACTGCATGCTTATATGCAATCATTCTTTTGTATATTACTACCATTGAAGTTTCCGCTTCTATGAATTTGGTGTTCATCTTGTTGTGCTAATGAGGAGTGGCAACTTGGACCGATGCATATATGTGCCTAGTCCTAGATTGCATCTGACTGGCTGACAACCAAGTCATTTAGGTGGTCGGAGTTAGTGAACAAAAAGCCTGCTTGACCCCGGTGTCATGATGTGGTGTGTGCTACTGATGTCGACAGATATAAGTAGTATGTAACATCAATCGAAAGTGAAATACCTGAAGGCAGAAGGTTAAGAAGATCGAAGAAAAGGGAATGAGAACAGAGAATGTTTATTGTAAAAACGAAGGAACAATTAAATCTGAGACAATTTATGGATATTTTACAAGTGAAGTATTTACTGTACGGTTTTAGGATTTTACTAAGGTGTTCTGTAATTTTGTGTTCAAATACATTCAATTGTCCCCACTTTTCTTCTCGTTCACTACAGTGATAGCTGACACAAGATAATAATATCTATAATCTTGACAAAACTGATGCCCCACGTGAAACTCAAACGCGTGTCATCCAGTATCATAGTCTCAGGTGCTACCATAGAGTTATTTATTTTTTGTGGCACTTTATCTGACTCCAGTTAAAGCGTTTAATGTTCATCATCGAGGTGTACATTTCAGCTACCGTCGTATACAAATATCGATTTAATTCGTGTTAGAGAACAACGGAATTAAATAAGTCAATCACGAGGATGAAGTTTGAATACACATGTTTCATACAATCACTGATTTGAACAAACAGCGATGGAAGCAAATAGGAGAGACCAAAGCGAGATGAAATGACGCGCAGTGGAGAATAAGAGTGAACTAACTCGACTTAACTAAACATGACTCAATATATATGGTCAGACCAAAATAAGTTACAGACATGTAGGGAATGGTATAAGCAATTAACACAAAATTAACACACTCAAATAAAAACAGTTAGGATTAATAAACGAATAAGTCACAAGACCAAAATGTAGCTTGAGAAGAATGAATAGATTGGCCAGTCCAGAAACTAGAATACCCTATATGGGCTTGACATAGTACCAGCCACTACAGTCTTACGGCTGACCTTCTATAAGATTCAAATAACTACAACTGATTAATAATTCAATAGTGATTTAATAGTTGATTTCATGAGTCCGTTGAAGCTGGCCCAGCATGCAGAAACCTCTATTCAATATTATGTTTGTCTAGTACTTTAGTACTGATTAGATTTCATCAATTAGTTAAGTCCTATGCTTTACGTGGAATAAAGGAATAAACAAACCAATATGGAATAATGTTTTTATCATCGTAATAATGTGAATCGAATATCATTAATTTAACTTACTTTTTTCCGTAACTTTTTACTTTTATTTAATATGGACTGACTACTGGTCTTTGCTGAACCACTGCCCTCACATGTGGAACGTGAAGATGGCTAAAATATAATAATAATAGTAAAGTGTCTACATACTTTCAACAGAGTAATCTAAGTAGTATTTGGCCAACGGAATAAAGTCTGTAGGTAAAAATAAAGTTTACAACTTCCTTAATTCACCAATCGTGTAAATATTGTGAAATATTATTACCATTTTAACTACCATTACTTATAATAAGTCTCCTTAATAAAAACTGATAATTTATCACGATGTAACACTCGAGCTAAATAAGCTCAGTGGTTGGAATATATTTTCTACTATATACTCTTTGTCCAGATTCCATCGGAGGAAGAAATCAGGAAGAAGCGTTGGAAGTGGATAGGACACACATTGGGGGAAGCAGCCAACTGCGTCATAAGGCAAGCTCTCACTTGGAATTCTCAAGGTCAAAGGAGAATAGGAAGACCAGATAACACATTACGCCGAGAAATGGAGGCAGACATGAGAAGAATGAGCAATAACTGGATAGAACAAGAAAGGGAGGCCCAGGTCAGAGTGGGTTGGAGAATAATGGTCGGCAACCTATGCTGCATTGGGAGTAACAGGCATAAGTAAAGTAAGTAAGTAAAAATTGAATAAATTGTTTACTATCATATATATTATTTATCATTTTCTCTTATTGTTGATGACATTAGACCAGGTTATAGGTGAACCTTTCAAATTAATAAAAAACAAATCTGTTCGTTTATTGTCTACAAATATCATTATTTGGTTTATGAATGAGAAAAGTAATAATTAGCATAAAAATCACTCTTTATATACAGTTTAAATCAACCTAAAGTTGTAATGAGAGGACGATTGAATGGTCTATACTGAACTGTTCTATGATTGGATAAATTGTTAACTAAGGTGATTTAAATCATTTAACACCTTATTGACCAATCACCTTCATTGTTCACTTTTTAATTCATTCACTTCTTAACAGGGGATAGGTTTTATGAAGATGATTTATTCCGTACGAACTGATAACAAATAAAGAATCATGAAACTCTTGACATGGAAAACTTTTAATGATCATTACACAATATCAAGAATTGATGGATTCAATGATCCAAAAGTACTTTACCGATCGAGATTCTTAAGTTTTCTAGGCTTCTATGCCTCAGGAGCGTTGTAGATGTACACTATTGTGAACTTCAAAAACACAGAGATATATTCATCTAATACGTTTTCTTTTCGGTAATATTCCTAATCATATCAATTCTTAATGAAAATATACTATAAATTATTCGGTCTTATAAATCATTATATAAAACTAGAAATAATCCATTTTCTTCACATACCTTTGCCCATGTTATTATAGTACGCTCTAACAGAACACGAGTTTCTAATAGTCGATCTTCCAATGTTTGATCTTGTTTAAGTATTGGATCGATAAGTATCAAAAATTGATGATTCGAATTTAAACGATAAGTTTTAGTAAGTGATTTATTAGACAGTTTAATAGCAGAATTGTCGATTTGTTGACCAGATTCATTGAACTGCCATAAATCTGGTTCCATTGAAGTAGTTGCTGTATTTGTAATATCATCTGTTTCTTCATCAGATAAAGGATCTGGGTATAATACATTTGAAGAAATATCTTTACTCTTTATCTAGAATCAATAAAAAAAAGGAATAATCTCCATAATTTTTTTCGGAAGTAAAGAGTTATACTCATTGATCATGAATAACAAATGAAGGGTTTTTTTTTCAAAATAAACTATAAGACTGTGTATTAAAACTTTAATGAGAGCAAATATTGTTCTGGTTGAAATAACGGCGAGACTATAATTTATGGACAAATCAATCAGATCTTGGATGTTAGTGCGAAATTTAACCACCCATTTATCTAAATAGCACTTTATCATTTTAACTGATGTCAATTCGTGATGAAAACCATAAACCTAATTCCTAACCGTAAGCATCAATTGTAAATCATAATCCTTATTCTTCAAACTGCTTTATAACCGTCATTTAGCCCTAGTAAGTAGGTGGACATTCTCAAGGTCACTAAGGCGTCTCTCAAATGCAATCGATGTATTAGAGTCTCACCAAAATAACTCTTAAAAGTGGAATATGTTTGTAAGTTATTGAAATGCTGTAAATTTAGAAATTTCCACTACTATCTTACATAATAGACTTCATTTTCGTATTAGGAAAACTAGATTTTGTTCAAATTCAGATGGTTATTTTACGAAAAAATGTTGGTCGACAATGTTCTTGTCATACTTTCTAATGATACAATGGAATTCTTGCTTTCTTTTGAAAGATTGTCCGTCAGAAAACTTGTTATCACACCCGACTCTCAAGTTCTAAATTAATTTAACAGTGAAGTATGCAGTAACGATTTTGATGATCAAGATAATCTGTAATGAATTTTCCCAACAAACTGATATCATTACATCATGTGTCAACTGTTTAGTGATTTTTTAACTCAGACGTCCAGTCCAGATAATGTGATAAGATTTGATCAATACAGTTTGTGGGAAGGATTGTAATACACTTTAGTTACATACAGTAAAACAGATAGACTCGCCTTCGAACCTATGTCCTTGTAGTATCAGTTTATATGTTAAGCCCATATACTTTATTCTAGTTGTAGGCCAAGCCAATTCGCCTATCCATTATGAGTCATATTTTGATCTTGTTAATCATTTGCTTATTAACCTTGACAATACTTTTATATGAGCATATATGTGTACACTTCGTATCTTATTCATCGTATGTCTGTCACTCATTTTTGTCTGATTATAAATATTGAGCAATGCTTGCTCATGTCGAGTTGGCTTCCCCGCCAATCTCCAATACGCATCATCTTTGCTTCGCTCATGTGCCCACAGCTTTCTGGTCTGCATCATTTATCAATAAAAATTTAGTTGCCGCTTCCTTTTGCCTTCTGATTTTATACACCGTTAAGATTGGTATTATAACGGTTATCAGGATGAACGATTAATGAAGCACGGCACTACGTCCTATTGGTTGTAGATTGAGTACATTTGTCACTAAGTTATCAATACATATATATCCAATTAACATTGTAAGAATCATCAAGGGGAACGTTATTAACAATAATCAGTAATTTCAACTTACCCCATGATTAGCTAAATCAAATAATTCTTGATAAGTCACTCGTTCAGTATGCGCAACACCAACCATTATCATATGATCACTTCCGTAAGCTTCAGTGTAATCACGTACCGCTTCACCTGCAACTTTTGTCATTCCATGATCAAAACCATCGGTTATAATCCAACATCCTGAATGTAATGAAATTTACCGAAATGTATATATGCAATAAGATGATGGATTTAATATATTTACATACAAAACTATTCATAAACTAATTAAGATTGAAAAGAAAGTCAGAGGATTATAGTTACTTTAAATCAGGAAACATATATATGAGACTAAAAATTAAAGTCCATAAAATGTGCCTAACATGTTTCAGTAAACATCATATATAACACATTGAATATCACATCTCCAGCCTCAATGGTTGGATTTATTTCAGCAGAATAAATGACATTTTTGAAAACTATTCACTGATAATAAACAAAGGTGGATAGCAGTGGAATCCAGTTTGACGCGCGTTTCGTCCTATTTGGGACCCTACAGTTGGATGTATCTGCATCTCATAGTTGATGTTCACCTTGGGAGTCGAACCCAGTACCTTTCGCTTCAAACACCATCACATTATTCACTCAGCTACTGTTAAATATTGATGATTTGATGTAGGATACATTTCTAAAAACTGATATAAATATGCAGTATTGAGAAGTTAATTTGACTGAAATTGTTGAGGAATATTGACGAGTGAAGATATATAATGTCAGCGCTATATTGGTTATTGAGAAAACAAGAAACTGATTGCATAGTAACATTCCATTCACAATGTTTGAATGCTATGAGCTTAATGTCACTGAAATATGTGAATATGTGTGTTGAAAAATACTCTACAATGAATTTCTTTGATAAGTTTAGATAGTGTCACCAATGGACTCCTTTTTCCCTTTATTATTGATTATGAAACATTTCGAAGTATGGACTTGATTTCCTATAAAAATTGTTGGTCATACTTTTTCAAACATGCGATTGTTACGAGATTAGAGTGTCCAAGGTTCAATCCCTGACAAGATCCTGAATATCAAGTACAAATGAGTCACATGCTAGGATAGAATAAATGTCAAATGCATCCTGATGAGACGAAAAAACTGTTACAGTCAATATTTATTATCAATGTACATAGTGTATCTCATTGTATAAAACTCATTACCAACCTGAACCTTCAGCTGCTTTCCATAAACCCTTTTTCAATGTATTCTTAAAACGTTTAGTTAATTCAGCATGTGAACTAAGAATACTGATAATTAATGTTGGTGGTTTCAAATTCCATTTTTCAGTTAAAATACGCTTCCATTGTTCTTGAGTATTACGTTGATCTGTACGAATATACTATTTAAACAAGGCAAAAATACATCATATGTATAAAGAGTATGTACCTTGCGATGAATATTTAAGATTATATCTTTATTACAAATTCAGTAATCAAAATATTGGTAAAATATAACGTTAAAATGTACTGTATAACCGTAGTTTTACTAAGTATGTACAGAAGCATACTAAAATGAGTACTTATACAACCTTATGAACGTTTGTTCTCAAATCTATACAACACTGAAGTTCCATTACTTGAAAACAGGACTCTAGAACAACTAGACTAAGTTTTCTTGTAAATATCAGCAATGAGATCGTGGAGTTTTTGATTGAGATCATGAATCGATCAATGTTAGACCACCGTTGAGAGCCTGAAAGCACTGGACAGACGTTTCGTCCTAGTATGGAACTCCTTAGCAGTGCGCATCCACGGTCCTGCACTCGGGAAATGTATGCGAAATTTTTATGTAAAATAACTTATTAAATTCATCTTATAGTTTTCATTACAGGCCATTCTTAGTTTGTAAAAGTACATTGTAAAGCAGGAAGCATTCAATAGCTGTTTTGTTGTAGTATGCTGCTCTCCAACAGTTTTTATCCACCAAACAATGATAATAAACAATGGCTATAAACTATTGAAGGTTGATAAAAGCCAGACATATAAACCTTTTTTCATATTGACTCAATGGTCTAAAGGATAGGCACTCTCTGTAAGACTTAGATGTCACACGTTCGATTTGTAGTCAGTTCTCTTCATTTAACCAACACTAGAAAGTTATTTTATCAGTCATATCTAATTTAACCGATAAACTGTTACTAAATGTTGAACATTGAAAACAGTCAAACATTATTATCATTCTTTTTTGTTTCTTTTACATTTGTAAACTGTTGGGGTGATCCAAACAGGAAACATTAAGAATCAATTTATCCAATCAGCATTCAGTAGAAGTTTCGCTAGAATCATCGCGAAAATGAAAAGTCACATGTATAGTTTCTGATTGGCTGATTACTACGCTGCTACTATGTTTAGTAGCATTCCAGAATTTTCAGGAAAACCCAAGAACTTCTGAAATACTATGAAAACCCAATATTTTCTGTACATAAATGAACCTTTGGAGTAAAATGCTTCCCGCATATTTTGCACCTTTTATCTCGTGTTCAAGTTATTGTGTAGATTTAAATTGAGGGTACGAGAATAGCTTAAGAACCGAGTATAAGGTTCAATTAACAAGACAAACTGATCTGTATGAAAATTCGCTAATCTTCCAAAACAAGAAAAAGATACCTCTAATCATAATTTATTTTTATTTTATTTATTTAAACACGTAAATATTGGTACAATGTGGCACAGAATACATATGCGCCACAAAAATCTCATCTGACTTGTGTGAGGGCCGTGGTACTGCTCGGGTGCCCAAACCTAAGCAGGTGGTTTTCTTAGGGAGCCACACCCAGAGCCTTTTGAAGTAAAGGTCTGATCCATAAGGCAGTGGAGCATCGTAAGGAGATGCAGTCCCATGGTAGCCGGTGACCAACGCTTGATTTGTAGCAAGCCCATTCAACTACTGTATAATTTGTGTGCTCTCTGTAATCTTAACATTTAATCCACTGTAAATTTTATGTGTGAGTCTGATTGAGCGCATATGTCCGCACATCAATCTTTAATCTATTCTCTCATTGGTTGTGAACAAAGACAATCAATAATTTACCCTCAATCCATTAACACTTATAAGTAGATATGGATTTTTAACACTCACACACACACTCACTTGTTTTCCCTGTGTGCTTGCTTTCTGTACGCTTGTGGATTTTTACCGAGCTTCAACAATAAACTATCTTTATAACTGGTGTTCAGGCTTTTGAATAATCTCGAGTAAACCCGTAATTCTATTAGGAGATTTAGCCTGCAGTAAATATTCAGTTAGCGGGATATTATTTATTTATTGGAGTCAGATATAGAGGAATTAATCCTCTACAGATTCATGCGCCATTTGTTCCTTCAGGATATTGGAGCCCATGTGCACCATTAGTTCAGAATCAGGGTTTTCCAACTCCCCTGGGTGAACCCTCCGTGTCCACAGACCAGGTTAAAGCGCCGGACATTCGCGTTTCGTCCTCTTAATTTCGTGAACAACACCTCCGCCACGAGAAGGCAGTAAGTAGGACTTCCCTGACAGAGGCTATATATGCGTGGCCATATGAGTGCATTTCGAGAGAGAGAGAGAGAGCGGACTCTCCCCACTCTCGACCGTACCAGGGCATTTAAGGGCATAAAGAAATAAATATTTGAAAAAATAAACCCCTATATAGATATTATAACCTTTAACCAATTGACCAACATTGTATTCATTACATTGAAATTTTTACATATTTGATCAATAATGAAAATAATAAAACTAAACCCATAATTTCACTTTTCTTTATCTTTCTATTAACATTAGTCAATATTAATATCTAGTCAACTTCTTTACAAATGAATGAAAACAGAAACGATATTCAGTCGTACAAGACCAATTTTGGAAATAACTCCGTAAGAAAAATTTCCTGAATTATTTATAAACTGGGAATTAAACCTCTATATACAAAGATAGATATATATGTATAGTATGCACTGCTACTGTAATACTCTGCCTATTATGTCTACCCATATATACATATATCCGTATAACAATCCGGAAATTGTAATCAGAATAGTAAATCTGATTTCCTGTCAACTAACTTTATTCATTTGAGTACACTTTTGAGTAAGTGAATTTTAAAAAAAAACTTTAGGGCGTTAACTACTAAATCGTTTTTTTTAATGTTGAAACTAAAGCTTATTAAAATATAAAACACTACTTAAACCCCCCCCCCAACAAAAAAACTTTTTTTTTGTATATACATAGTTATTCTATATTCTGTAAGATTAAAATTTGAAGAAACCGCTTCATATGTATTTAAATTTACTGTGGTGTGGGTTACTTATGTCCAAATAAGTAGTATATAATGATAAAATGTATTTTGGCAGAAGATCGTTAAGGAAAGAACAGAAATGAAACGCGATTGGTACGAAAATGCATGAACAATGAAATCAGTGAAGATGGTCTGATATTTGCTGAAGTAACAGTGAAGATTGAGACAATTGATTGTTATTTTGCAAATTAAATTAGGGAGAATGTTGAATGCTTAATATAATTACCGAAATCTAACTGATAACTAATGTGATGTTTTAAGTAAATGACTTTACAAAGATAAATCATAAAGCTTAAAAGAACGTTTGAATGATGTCCCTTGAAAATTACTTACTATTAATACGATATGAAGGTTACTTGACATTTTAATCAAAGTGTAGGAAGCCATATGCAATCAACTCTGTTCTCGAAATGAATAAGAGTTCTGTCTTTACATGAGGTAACAAAATTTTGTTCGTTTTCAATCTTATAATAACTTTTCGGTAATCTACTACTCAATGAGAATCCTAGATAAAACTTATGAAACAAACCTGACATTAGAAAGAGTGTATTACTAGTATAAAATATAAAGGGTTTACTCGTAATAGATAGAAACATTTTTGGTTCCCAGCTAGTTGGAGTTCATCGACGAAAATCATCAACACTATTGAGGGTACTGATGCTCCTTACAGAGTTTGAACTCAGATCACCAATAATCAAAAGTACTAACGTTGCTAATGAACTGTTTAAGTGGCGACCTATTTGTAAGACTAAAAAATAGATTGATCACTGTCCAGCATTTGAATACCGATTGGGTTCTATCGATCGTATTGGAATCAAACAATTAGTCTGAGTTATTCGATGTAGAATGTAACATTCTTCTATGTTAAATAAATGAAGTTACTCATCATTAGTTGTATACCAGGTAGTGATTTTCGGAAAAAATGACCAGATTAGAGTTAAGGAAACAAATACTAGGGTCTCTGTAGATTTACTTAGAGAATTATTATTAATATGTTCCATGAATTTAAATTTCATGCTTGATGTAAAAACTAAATAGACAATTAAACAGAATTGCAGCAAGTTGGCAACTGGTTCCCATGTTAGCCGACAGTTTCCTAGCAAGACTAATGAATTGGTCACTTGTTCTGAATACTAAAACCTCAATATAACATCCGATATGTGTATGGCATATTTTATCCTCTGTAAAGGTCATACTAGTCGGTTTAAGACTCTCAGAGGATTTGATAAAGTTCATCTGTGTACTAATTTCACAGACAAGGAAAAAAATAGTGGTAGAATAAACCTTTTAGTAGGAGAGTAAGTTAATCAATAGGAAGAAACCAGAACAAGAAAAGTACTTGAACAAGACAATACATAAACCATCTTAGTTTTATTCCTCTCCAATATCATAAAATGCATTTGATGAAATCTCTGTACCATAAAATTAAAACAATATGCTCGTCAGATACATTTTGAGGAAGAAACAAATGCTATATGTAATACTTTAAGGGAAAATGAATACCCGAGGAAGTTTATAAACAAACAATTGGCCACAAAAAGGTAGATGTAGGATTTTCAGATTCCATGGTTAGCTGAATGTGTAAATCAAAATTAATTAAAATTAAATAATCAGAAGGGGTTTTGTGGATATTTAGTATTTTCATAGTTGAAAGCATGAGTCAGTTGAAGCTAGACCACCAAGGAAAACCTGGAAGCACTGGACGGCCGTTTCGTCCTGGGTTCGAATCTCGCGAGGCGAGGTCGTGGATGCGCACTGCTACTGAGGAGTCCCACAATAGGACGAAATGGCCGTCCAATGCTTCCAGGTTTTCCTTGGTGGTCTGGCTTCAACTAACTCATGGTTTCAACTACAAATTTGAATAGTTAATTTAAACATCTTTCATAATATTTTTAAGTTGTTGTTGTTACAGTAATCTAAAAAATCCTTGACGTTATTTTCATCGTTGTTAAAAGGATTGTTTACTCCATAATATTATAAATTACTATTATTATTATTATTACTGATCATCCAATGTAGATCATATTTAAAAATACAGATTTTTAAAAGAATTTATATTTTTTAATTGTTTCGTTTGGAGATTAGCATCGTTTGTAAATGGTGCATAAGTACCAAATGGATATCAGATAGATAGATGTTGTAGCTGTATATAAATTCTCAAAATCAATAGCTTTGCAATTGTTCCACATTGGATGCTAACCACATTAGTTGTAATGGACTAATTTAGTTGAAGGCGCATCCGTACCAGATCTTGTTTCGAAACGGCGTGCGCAACATCTCCTGCGATCACTAGCCAGATTAGATCAGTCACTCCTGGATATATTGATAACTCGTCAACTCTATTTTCCGACCTCCTTGCCTCTGACTTTTAATTTTACTGGGTGGGCGCTATTCAATTATAGAAGGTGTTACTGGTAAAATGTTATCAAACTACAATACCTGTGGTATCTTCAATGTAAAATACCTTTGAGTAAACTGATAGATCAAAAGAATTCATTAAATGAGACAATCACTTACTGAAAAGATTAACTAAAGATCAAACTATATTTAACATTAACGAAATTTCAAAATAAGTAAACTAATCCATTCCTATTAAAAAGAATCGTAATCACTCCAAAATTTAAAGGTTATTGTTTTTTTTATCTGGTGTACGGTTTTAGTGTGTACTGAATCGAACTAATGAAGTAGAATAAACTTGTGATCAGTAGGAGCACCCTCGCTGAAAGGGAGGATTAACAACAGTCTTACTGAATCAACTACTATTCTGTACTAAATATGATACATCTAATCTCTTAGAAACAACCAACAATAATTAGATTTTCTTTCATAAAATCATAAGTCTCGTTGATTTAACTAAATATAAATTCACAAAATATTCATAAATTATTTGACTTAACATCTAATCAGTCTATAACGATAACCGTTATACTACAACTCAAACTAAACGAATTTGAAATTGAATCGGTGGATGCAAACCCAAGTGTTCTAATGGTTAAGTGTTCACCTCGAGACTTGAATGTTCTAGGTTTGATCCTGATGAGTCTGTAGTTATGTACTGCAGATTAGTCCCATACTAAAATAAAACAGCTATCCAGTACTCCTTGGCTTTCAATAATACCGAGAATGTGATCAATCTTTGATGTAAACAACCTAATATATATTTTCAGAAGAGGTTTTGTGGATATTATAGTAATGTTGATAACTGAAATCATGAATCAATTTAAGCTAGACCACGATGAAAAACCTGGAAGCACTGTTTGACGGCCGTTTCGTCCTATTATGCTACTCCTCAGTGGCAGTGAGCATCCACGATCCCACCTCGCGAAATTCGAACCCAGGACCTATCCATTTCACGCGCAAGCGCTTAACCACTATATTTAATAGTATTTTTCATAACATAAAACAGTAATAATAAACACAATCATGATAATAATAATAATCATTCATTCATTCATTACTTTCACAGGTTCTTCACATCCAGGAAAATGTATTTCTCCATAACTATGAATAAAATTATATTCATCATTTTTTTCTATTTCAGCATTTTGTTTAGGCTTTTTACGTAATGTGGATTTTTGAAATGTAGTTGATTTTGTATCATTTTTATTCATTTTATTGTTTGTTTGGCTGGGTTTGGTTTGATTTGGTTTCTAAGATGAAACTGATGAATAAGTAATATTTTCTTTTTGTGTAATCTCTAGGTATAAAACTTTCCCTTAATTTTGATGTAAAGTTAGACGATTGGATATCATGTGTCATTTATTTGAATAGTGATTTGCTGAATTCTGATTGGTTGGTAGGTGTTTATATATATATTGAATATTTTTGTGGTTCACATAACGGAGAGATGTTAGGTAGTTAGTCAGTAAAGTCGTAGAATCACTGAATAGCTAGTTGATCTTAGTATTGAACTCAGCTTGTTCAAAATCTGACTACAGATCGAACTCAGGATATTCAGGTCTTTTCGCCAGCTGTTAACGTTTGGATCATTAAGCTTGAATTCAGTGACTTACATGTTTAGCTCCAATTAATTCGCAACATTTTGCAACCACTTTTCAACCATAATGACAGGAAACTTATATAAACCCGAAATGATTTAATGCATGGATTCAAACTGAAACTCTGGGATGTAGCTTACAGAGCTAATCACTACTGTGTACATGATTATTACTTGTACAGAAAGGGATTAAATATAATATAAGGAATGTGTCAAACAAATTAAGATAACAGGTATTGTTCAGATCCAAAAATGAAATAAATGTTAGAAACAGTAGTAATGATCGGAAATCAGTGAATTACAAAGATTAAATGAAGATTGAGAGATTAAAAATAAATAAATGGTTTGAATTACATGCTAACTCACGCCTGTTACTCCCAACAGAGCATTCATAATACGGGTGCCTTGTGTTGACATTTAACTCCATTGATTGAGAATTTGATGTTTTATGAACAAGATGGGTGGAATCCATAAAACTTCGTACTGATTTATTTCAAAGCAATTATCCTGTCTTCATTTTCTTTGCTCTAAACATCAGCTGAGGTATCTTAGTATCCAGCTTCTTTATCATCCTAATTATTTCATGATTTCTCGTATTTACATCGGTCTACTATTTTCAATTGACTTGACAGTCAGTTTCCAGTTGCTATAGCACATAGAACTTTGCATCAACATTCTGAATAATGAATTGATGATTGGAAGATAAAGGATATTGTACACATTCAAAATTTTCATTGACACATTCTCAAAGGTGGTCTGTAAATAACAATCTTAATATCACAGTTTGCATAAGTATTAGACTGACCATACTTATACTTACATTCATCAACATATTCTTTATTAACGATAGAATAGTATTCATCTTACAGACAACTGAGCCAAAACAAATTAAATTTTGCTGCAACGTATGAATCCATAACTCATTTTGTATTGATTGCTAGAATGTTCCCATTGATGTTTAGGACTATAATTGATCAATCTCTTATTAGAATATTTGCATCCTGTGGGTATTGCCTCGATATAATCTTAAGTCACAAGCATTAAAAGCATAGATGAACCGTGGCTAGTAGTGCTATCCAGGACGCGCATTTCGTACGTATGCCAATAACCGATTGATTAATTGCAGTCCTAAACACCAATGAAAAATTCAAACAAACAATACAAAATAAATTAAAACTTTACCCCATTTCACAAGCAAGTGGCTACCTGGACTCAGTAGATAAATGGATAACGTGATGACATTTAAAGTGAACAGTACTGGGTTCAAGTCCCAGAGTGAACATGAACTTTGGGATGCAAGTATATCTAGCTGATGAGTCCCAAACAAGACGAAATGTGTGTCCTGTATTCCACTGACAGCCACCGTCCATCTCTGCTTATGTATGAAACCATAACTTTGATAAGCTTTTGAATTAAGTGACATCCAATCATGAATGGTTTCTCGAATTACTGATGTCAAACTTGATGAAAACTAATTATCGTAGTAATTTGATTTGTTTTAAAATCTTTCAATTTTAGGAATTTCAATGTTTTTTATTGATTACTAATTGAACCATCCAAATTCACTTTATAAACGGGTTGAGTAGCTCCCAGATTATTCACTGTGCATTAGATTGTCATTTTAGGAAACTCAATCTGTTACTTATTTGATCAGTTACTTGTTCTATTGTAGAAAACAGGAAGATGAAAGGGGAAAATCGAATATATTCAAGCACAAATTACAGAATATCTCACTAAAATCTGATAACCGTACAGTAAACAGTTAATTTGCAAAACAACAATCAATTGTCTCAATCTTGTCTGTTCCTTCTGCAAATATCAGTTCATCTTCTCTGATTTCAATGTTCATGCATTTTCATACCGTTTGCTATTAATTCCTGCTCTTTCCTTATCGATTTTCTGCCCAAATACATTCTATGCCTGACCATCACCATATACTACTTATATGGATATAAGTAACCTACACATTATGAATGGACATATTTTGAATTGGTTAGTAAGTCAGTAGAAATATGTATCTGCAAGACGAAAACAAAACCAAGATGAGCAATAAACTCCACAATATAGTGTGATACGCTTTTATTTATCATTCTTATTATTCTTAAGCTGTCATCGGTCTAGTTTGATCTTAACTTTTCATATAAATGGCTTTAATATCCAACTCGTCAGTATATAAACCAAAGTATTAGTTCGCATTACTTATTCATTGAAATCATGAAGTGACCTATTTTAGATTATCATTGAAAACCTGGGAGCATCTGATGAACGTTTCGTCTTAGTATAGAACTAGTCAGTAGTGAGTTTTAACAACCCCGCTTGTGTGAATCGAACCCATGACCTTCAATCTTGCTTGCAAACGCTTGATCTCTAGATAACTGAGCCGACGCTTTACAGTGCTAGTGTTTAACTTCAGTCGATTCTCGACACTGCGCGACCATCTTTCATTGTCTTTGGTGGGTAACTGCCCCTCAATCGACACGGACACGCAATGTCGTGGACCGATTGAAGATAAACGTAAATAACATTACGTGTCGACTTAGTGGTCTAGAGGTTAAGCATTTGCAAGCGAGACCGATAGGTCTTGGGTTCGAATCCCGCGGGGCGGGACCGTGATTGCGCACTGCCACCGAGGAGTTTCACACTAGGACGAAACGGCCGTCCAGTGCTCCCAACTATTAAAAATTACTATGATATCCGCGAAAACCCCTTTCTGATAATAATTAATATTTAAATGGTAAACATAGTAAACAATATTGTCATAACTTCTACGTATCAGCAGGGTATATTACCCCCAGCTGGGAGGGACATAATTATTAAATCTCATAAACAATGATTCTAGTCAAATGAAGAAAAAAGAATAATATCAAAAGGGTTGATCAATGGTTGTATTGACGTGATCAAAAAATAGCTTGAGTATAGAATACTCTTCTTTCTTTCTATTTGATTGATTATAAATTACTTATTTGATGCAAACAACTAACATTTACATCTATACTAATCATCTGAACCATTAATATATAGAAGATTTAATTAGTAAACTATAAAAAGTGGTTACTAATCTATTCATTTGATTCAACTCATAAGATGTATTGGTTACAAATATATCTCATTACTAACTTATCTATACATTGATGATCAATCTTCTTTGTCAAAATAATATTGAACCAAAAGTTGTATATGATGATTTCTAAATTAAGGATGTATTTTGTATAATCAATGGTTTCAGAAATAAAAGATAAGGCAATGGATTGGGAAGAGACATCACTTATATTATTCTTTATTTGTGAAGCTAACTATGAAGATATATCCAGCTATTGGAATACAAACAATATCATCGAAGCGTTTAACTAAGAAAGAGAAAAGAAAAACACCCCATAGAAATTATATGGAATTTGGATAAAATGGATTTAGAATGAATTCAAACTGTATTGGAACTAATTATTATAAGTTAAAAGTATGAATTATTATATTGATGTATAGAATAAAACTATTGATGAATAATCTTTTACTTTTTCTACGATTATGGAACGTTTTGAACAAGTAAATAAGTAGGCTTTTATTTGTGATTTTTAGTAATTTTTTATATATAATTGAAATCATGATTCAATTAAAGCTGGACCACTGTGGAAAACCTGGAAGCACTGGACGGCCGTTTAGTCCTATTATGGGACGACTCAGCAGTGCGCATCCACGATCTCGCCTCGCTAGATCCGAACCCAGGACCTACCAGTCTCGAGCCGAAGCCCTTAACCGATAGACCACTGAGCCGGCATCCAGCGATGTTTCTGTCTAACTTCAACCAATCCACGAAATTGAGCAACCATTCACCAATGTCTTCAGTGAGTTCCTATTTCACAACAGACGTGGTTGAACTCCACTGGTTACTGCTTCTCACTAGAACTCCAGGAAATACCTCATGGAGCCAGTCACTAGGGTGCACATGATAAAGGGGTAATTAAGTAATCAGCAACATAAGCTTATGATATTTTAATTCTTGAAGATAGTTCTTGTAAAATTTGGTAAACTTTTAAACATTAAGGACCACTAAACATATTTATCATCATAGGTTAAGATTTCACAATAGTGTGTACTTTTCACTAAACCAGGGGTTCAATCCAAGATATTCAAGTCTCATGGCAAACTTATTACATTTATATTATTGAGTTAGAATCCAATCAAAACGTGATTAGATTTAGCCGATAGAGAATAAAAACATACCAAGTATTTTAATGAGGATGATAATTCCTATGGGATTTGAACACGTATAACCTCAATTTACAGTCTAAGACGTTAATAATGAGCTATTCTATTTATTTATTTAAACACATAAAAATTGGTACAAAGGGGCACCAGATAAATATGCGCCACACAAATCTCATTCAATTTGTGTGAGGGCTGTAAAACTGTCCAGGTGCCCAAACTGAAGCAGGTGGTTTTCTTAGGCAGCCACATCCGGAGCCTTTGACCTAAAGATCTGATCCACAAGGCGGTGGAGCATCGTGAAGAGGTGCAGTCCCATGGTAGCCGGTGGCCAAAAATTGATTCGCACGCCATTTGTTCTCTCAGAATACTGGAGCCCATGTGCACCATTGGTTTTGAATCAGGGTTTCCCAACTCCCCTAAGTGGACTTTCCGTGTCTACCAACCCGGTTAAAGCTCCGGAAAATTCGCGTTTCGTCCTCTCAAGTTCGTAAACAACACCACAGCTATTCAGGTCATAACTGTTCTAGAT